GAATTCATTTCTATGTTTTCGTTACACAATGTAACTGTCTATAGCTTATACAAAATCGTTCAATAATTAAAGTACAAAATTGTTAAAAATTCATTAAAAAAAAAGTACGTAAAAGCACAGTAAGCCTATGGTAGTTAATAATTTGTGTGTTTTTGCCTTGTTGACAACGTAACTGGACTGGACTGATTCAAAGTTAAACTTTTCACAAATAAGTCGTGTCCATACTCTAATGATTTGCCCCTTAACTTTATCTACTGCTGCCTTTTCTAATTTTTTTTTTTTTTTTGGCATTAGTTATCTACTACTACTCACATTGGCATCTATCTTCTTACTCTTTTCATATTGCCAAATTGCTAGAAAAATTACTCCATTAGTTAGGCATGAGTTTTACCAATAAGCTGCCTTTGTTTGCTGATTGAAAAAGAGATCCATCACAATCACAAAAGGAGATCGAAGAACAAGACTCCACCAAACTCTCAGTCATCTTACCCAACCACATATGCCACAATTTTCTTTTGGCTTTTTTTTGTTACTGATCTCTTATGAAAGTCTCATATTTAATTAGGTCAAATTAATTAAATATGGTTCTTCAAATATCACGAAACAGTAATTTCACAATTTGCACATTATGGCTTTGGAAGGAATCACTTGTAGCCCCCGTTAGCTCAAAGTATAGTAACTTCAATGTACGTTGAGATAGAGAATATCATTTTTTTAAAAAAAAAAAAAAAGAGAGAGAGAGAAGAAAATAACATCAAAATACACACATAAAAAATGAAAACAATTAAGAGACTCAGTTATATTTGAAACATTATCTCTGGTACTGTGTCAAAAACTTACATTTCTTACTCAAAATCAGTTGACAATGGTTGAAGAGATTCACGACGATTATATAACCAAAAAAGTTTAAATTTCAGATATACGATACTTTACACCTGTGTATTGAACAATTAGCAGGATTTATATGTATGTAGAGCATGAGTCACGGGTTGTGGCATCAATTAATTTAAGTGGCATAATCCGCTATCTGTGCAAATCAATGGCGAAATGTGATTGTAAAATGGAGGTCGCTGTCGGTTTGGAAGAGGGCAGGTTATCTGCTTGGCGCATTTACTGAACAAAAGAATAATTGAGATGCTCAGATTAATATTAATCTATATATCATCCCCTATGACTCTTGAAGCAATGACCCAATCTACTCTATCCATCCAAGGAGTAAAATACTTAAAATCACCTTTTTTTTTTCCTTAGCTTGTTTCTTTTATATATAACATATAATGATGATGAAAAGCTACTTATTGAGCTACATTCATCTTCATATTATATTCTAAGTCAGATTAATTATGATTACCTCAAATGTTGGTGTCATCAATTTGCTGCAAATGGGTGGGTCGTAGGGCCAGTACTAAACTCGGTAGTCAATATATAATCTACCTGCTCCTACAAAATTATATGAGCTGATTCATATATATTATTTCCAGCCTTTATTCCTTCTTCTTCTTCTTTTTTTCTTTTTTTTTTTTTTTGGTAAGGATAGGTCGTCTGGCTCTAACAATTAAAAGTATAAATATATCACTAATTTATAAACGGAAATTAACAATTATTCTTTGTCATAACATTGTAATGATGTTTTTCATTAAAAACATTGTGATCAAATCTACAAACAGGAACATTGAAGAGAGCAGAAGAATAATTTCAATGCACACGCACATTAACTATACGTCTACTTGGAAAGCAAATTACTTCCTCCGGTACTTATTATAAGACAGTTTGATTTCGTCTTAGGTTTTACCTAAAAAGTCTTTTTAATTGGACAAAAATCTTAAAAATATATTTTTATATTCGTCGTATTCTCTTAATTACAATGAAATGTTTTTAAGGTTTTTTTTTCAATTAAAAATACATTTTAGGTGAAACTTTAGACGAAATCAAAATACCTTATAATAAGGACCGGAGGGAGTATAATATTCCATCTTTGTTTCAAAATAAGTATGTATCTTCTTGGTACGAAAAATATGATAATCATTTTGAAATGAGAGAAGTAATTCTAAATTCACTTGCTTTACTTTGTGTCACGAATGATGTCTTCAATTCATCATGTCCAATTAATAACTAGATAAGATGATGGATATATATACCTAATATCTAACTAGAAAAAAACTGAAAAAAAGTTCGTCCCTCGTTTCATTTTTATATCATAGTTTGGCTTTGTAGAGCAACACAACATATCCTTCGGCCTTCTAGGCTCTAGCTCGATGTATCATTCATGATGTTTGAATTCTGCCTTCGCACAAATTTTCAACAAAATAATTGACTGAACACATAAGTCAACGGCCACAATCATGATATTCTATCTACTCCAATTTGTAATGTTCCACATTAATTAGCTCCTAGATACACATCCGATGATGATTTACACATATATTTTTTTTTATGGTCAGAATTTGGGTCCAACCAAAGATGAGATATCGGTGTATTTACGTTGTCGCTTTCATCTATTTGATTGAAGTTTCTGAATTGAGATCGAGCAGTGTCTCAAATGTGAAAGATGATAGCATAAGTTTATTGAAATCGATCATAAAATATTTGACCAAATTCCAACCACTACCCAATATCCTTCAATTCCACTTTAATTATGCGGTTTAGGGTTTCATTTTTCGTTTCATGGTTTATGGAACATGTATAATAGCTAACGCCTGAGCTGATCACGTAGGAACTACGTCTCAAAAATATAAATATTATACTGATTTCGGAATCAAAGAGTCGTACGTATTGAATTAAAATATTACAAAACATGATTATGGAAGTTGACGGAATTAATAGTTCTACAAACCCTAATCGTTCTGGAAATTAAAAGGGTTTGGTTAACTTGAATACAATATACATGAACTATATAAGTTACATTCAGGGAGAGAGTCAACAATTTCACCTCATACGCATACAATTTAATTCTTAATTAAGAATAAATAATGTGGTGGAAATGGAATAATAGATCCCCATTACCAAACGGCACCTTTCCTCCATGGAAATGTAAGGGTTGACGGGGTCATAAGCCGCAAATGCCTGCAGCTTTGGCATTCCTGTCATAAGTCAATATTCCTGACTCATCTAATTCCTTCTTCATTTTATAATATAATAATTATAGTAAAATGAATTCTCAGCTTCTTGTTTGGGAAAATCCCGCAATTTGAATTAATTTATTAGTTTTAAGTCATGCGTCACAAATACAACCGGGCGCAAGGCCGAAACTTGCCCAGTTTTCTGAAGAAAAAAAGAAATGTTAAAAACAGACGGATCACACGCTTTTCTTTTTCTTTTTTTTTTCGTTTTTCTTTTTGGAGATTAGAATTGCAAAACTTGTTATAAGATCCTTGTCAAGTCATGATCACTGTCTTAATAATCCATAATATATAGTTGCACCCAACAAAAAAAAAAAAAAAATCCATAATAGGAATTAATAATGTTTGAAATGGAACTTAATTAAGCTTTTCAGGTGATATCAATGAAAGACTCTTTAGCTGCAGTCTGCAGGTTTAGTTGAGTTTGGCTAAAGTGTAGTAGTACCTCATGGAGTAATGGTATTCAAGCATAGAAAAATACGATGGCAATTTGGATAAACCTCCTCTGTTTTTGTTGGTTTCAATCGAATTATCTAATATGAATGAGGAGTTGGTTCAGTGGTAAAATCACCCTTGCTTCAAGAGGAGGTCGTGAGTTCAATCCCTTCACTTCAATAAAAAGTTAGGGGTTGGCTCTCACTTTGCTTATTAGTACCTCTAGGGTCTTGATATGGCTAACACACTAATAAATTCCAGATTTCACACCCGAGCTTGTCACACCAGATATACCTAGGGCAGTTTACTGGTTTACTTCCTACAGTGATTTGCAGGCTATGGCAATGAGTGTAGGTTTACCCATCTCTGATAGGGTTCCCGGCGTTATCAAAAAAAAAAAAAAACAAAAATGATCTAATTTAAAATTTTGTTTTTGATACAATTATACTAGAATTAAAAAATCGAAATTGGACAATTATTTCGATACGGAAGAAATACTATGTTTAATTTGAACCTTATAAATAAGTCCGGAAGAAATACGTCATACTGAACCCCTTTTGAGTTCGCAGAGGCACACAAGTCTATCTTATTGCATTACTTCTTTGGTCACTGAAACATGTATCCTTAAAAGCTAAAGTGTGTACATGGATGCACTTGGAATCAACATGCAAAGGCCCTTTGGACAAAAAGGACTTGACGGAGAATTTGGACTTGGTCTAAAAACAACATTCATGATGGATTTCTTTGTCATCTTATGATGTCACAATTATTAAGAGTTTTGAGACAAATATATATATATATTTAATTGAATTCCGCAAGACCTTCTTCGTACACTTTGAAGGGAGCAAAAAGGACAACACAAATTTTAAAAAGATGCATTTTGATCACAACTAAGAGAAGAAATGGACCAAAGCTGCCTTTTTTACATGTACATTTTTGTAGCCTATAAACGTGCATGACCGAGCGTTTTTTGGACCAATTAAAGATGCCAAATGATCAATAATTTGCTTACAAAAGCTATACACCACCAACTGAACTCATTTTACTTTTAGTGATTTCAAATTCAAGAAATGAATAAATTTAGTAATTGACCAATTCAAACATGCAATATTTAAAGAGCACGACTACTTACCCGCACTGTTAAAAGGGATGGATCGATACGGATCTGCATTCACATTTAGAATGTTTTTGAGGTTTTTGTCCTTTCTAATATCTGTAATCAGTGTGATTTTTGTTATTCTGTGTTGGTCCAAACACCAAACTTTATTAAAAGAAAATTTTGTTTTGGGTTTTGTGTGTGTGTGTGTGTGTGTGTCTCTCTGTGTGTGTGTGTGTGTCTCTGTGTGTGTGTGTGTGTGTGTGTGGTGTGTAAGTGTGTGGTGTGTAAGTGTGTGGTGTGTAACAAGAAGGCTAGTTACCTCAGGCTAAACATATTTTTACACGTCCAGAACCAATACAATAAACTTCATGAGCTGCAAACAAAATAAAGTAGGCTACAAGGAAAAAAAAAAAAAAAACATTTGAAATATCAATTTGCTATTCGCAGTTTGCCATTTGATTTGACTAGCAATTGACAAAATGAAGTGATTGAACATGTACACTGTTCACGTTGAATTACTGGACCATTTCACTACGCAGAACAGTCCAGCAGTAGCCAATCTGAGGAGAGAAATTTGCTCAAATGACCTAATAGAAAACACTTCATAAAGCTCATTTCTCTACCTCGCTTTTACTAGGCCGCTAATGAGTAATGACTATTGGATATTTACAACCTAACCTCTACGCCATGGCAACCAGGTTGGCAGGAAGATCATGAAGTAATAATCACAAAACTGAGCCAGCGTGCAGTCCCAATGCATCAACTTTCGCAGCCTGACTGCTGATTCTGACTTCTCGGGATGTACCCTTAGTGCATATCATCAGGGGATCCATTATGACAAATCAGTGATCCGATAGAGCAGATAAATGAATCTTCCCACAGTTCCCAGTGTCTAGCCGTTCAAATTGCTTACAGATCTGCATGACATCGATTTCTGAAACTTTCTTCATGGCCTTGAGCTTGTATAGAACATACTCAGATTTACTGCAAGGTACAAAAAAACAACAAATAAGAACTGATGAGCCGTCGCACTTAAGATTTTGCTGGTCTAAGAACAATAATACAAATGTCAGCAGATAAAAACAATTTTAGTGCCAACACAAAGCTCAATCCATGTATATCCTTCTCAGCTAGACCAGTACAGGAAATCGAGAAAAATAAATAACATGAAACCATATTGAAAATGAGGGAAATCAACACAGTGGCATTTCAACATGTTTATGTTCATTGGTTTCTTTGTTTACACTGGTCTCAAAAGAATTTTTCCCTTGTACAGAACAACATTCTCTGAAAATATAGCTCAGGTTTCAAACTATTAATAGCGTTCAGTCCCTTCCGCCTGTATATGTATATCTACTAGAACCAACTCAAATTTGAGATTGCCCACACCAGAAAGGTGCTCACATAATAATCGTTACCATATTCAAGCAAACCCATAAACCATCATACTTACCCAATTAAGTCAAGGAACATTGGTTTCAACAACAATATAAGAGTAGACTCCACAGATTATAAGAGTAGACTCCAAATTATAAGTTGAGGCCAGGCAACAATGCCTCCGTTCTAGTTCACCCACATTGGATACTCAGATCCATTGGCAACTAAGATTCCAGAGTGAAATTTGCAACTGTGCAACATGACACTGCAATTTCAACCTCCTGAGTCTTCTTTGTACTCTTTAAGCCCTTCATATAAAGGGAAAAATGAGGAAAACGCCTCTATTTTTTGTTTCTTTTTGGGCATTTCAACAAGGACCCATGACTTCTATCCTGTTAGACATTATAAGAGGCCCTGACTCTACACAATCGAACCCTTTCCTAAATTAGCGGAGGCAGCCAGGCTAAATCATGCGAACATTGTAGCTCACCTGCACCTAATGAAATCTACTCAAAATATGAATAGGATGTACCTGCAACCAGATAAGTTTTCATTTCTTCTATTCTAAATTCAATGTACCATAGCTTTGTTACTGCACTACTATGCTTCCCTGAAGGACCATATAGGTTTGACTTGGATAGAATACATGCACCTACTGTCCAGTAAATGTAATTGTTGAAGAACCAGCTATTCTACTGGCCCTCACTTAGATCCAGAGAAAGGGTAATAACCAGATACAAAACCAGGAAGCTCTCTTTCCATCGATAAGATATTTTAAGTTTCCTCAACCACTGCTACTTAATACTTGTTCCAAAAATATCATAGATGATGAAAGAGCACTTTACAAATACGGACACTTCATTTGAATCGCAAAATTGAATGAATTCACACGTAGCCCATGCATCACACATGAGGCAGCAACAGACTCCATCGGGAAAAAATCCAGCAATTATTCTTGAATGTCTTATAATTTATCCCTCGTGGCAATAAATTAGATAAACTTCCGGATTGCGTATTTGCAAACATATCATGCGATGCCGGCATGAAAGCAAACCAAGTTGTTCCTTGATCGTGCCCAACTTCATCATGATCAAAGAGAAGAAACAATGTGATGAGCAACCTAGTTAAATTATACCCAGTCAAGTCTACAACGTAACAAGTTTGTTTTGTTATATTTAGCAATTCAAGTTTCCTATTTTTGAGCCTTTGTATTTAATGTATTCAAGGTTTTCTTTCAGTTCCTAAAATTGAGTCTCATTAGGGAACTAGTTCTTCAGGAAACTACAGAGTGAATCCTTTTAGTGTTCATTTTAGCTTTAGTCTAATAATGTACCTTCTTTGGCGATTTTAGACAGCTTCAATGGATAAAATCCTGCAACAAATTCTGTACCGTTCACTAGTTGTGTGATGCAACTTTGCCTGGCATGTGATGCCTAGAAGTCCCTAGATGTGATGTGGAGAGTTCCTAAGAGCAATTCTTAGAAGAGTTCTGCCAACTGTCTAATTAGTTTCCGCTGGCTACTAGCCTCTTAAACAACCTAACTCAGAATAACCCACGTTTTCGCTATATCATGCATTAGGTATTAGATTAGGTTCTCTAGGGGCAGCACTAGTCAAAGCATAAAGCGGGCAATAAAATCATAAATTCCTTCATGATCAGGGTCTGATACTGTTAATTCCAAGAAAAAACCTCAACAAGTGGTTAACTAGCAAAGAGATTGATTGCAAACATCCCAGTTCAAGCAAGTGCGTTCTAGAAATATAAAACATGCATATCCACTGCAATGCTTAAATAAATATAAGAAGAAACCAAGTCCAGAAGCAGAGGACAAAACCTTGTATTCCTTCTTCTTCAAGCTTTTAATTCAGTCTGATTCAAGATACTAACAAATTCTATTTGATTATGGCGTCAAAATTGAGCAGCTAAACTATTGTGGATTAGCCACCCATTTATACTTCTACCGAAATATGAAAATTCGTATCGCTGTAACCTGAGAACTTTCTCCACAAATAAGCCAAACATACATTCAGAAAAGAAAAAAGAAAAAAAGAAGCAAAAGTAATAAGAATACTATTACACACAGATCAGCTTCTTAAAAGAGTTGCAGCAGAGACTTCCACATTTCCAGTTAATCAACTATTTTAAACGTGAATTCCCCTTACAAAAGTATGACAGTAACTGCGTTTAATGCATGTTAAATAATCGAACAATGCATATATGAACATCAATAAAAGATAAATATTTATCTTGAATTAGAACAGAAAGCCCTTATACAATGAATTGAAACCACGCCTAAAACACAAATGAACAAAAATATAAAATTTATCAATGCTATGTTCCACTAATATCAACATCAAAAGCATCTATTAAGCGCAAATGTTCATCTATACCACATCTCAACTAATTTGTAGAAACATCCAACCAAGTCAATCAAGTTATAACCCTTTCCAAAAGAAATCCGAAGAGATAAGCTTCAATATTATTAACAAAATGATCATGCATCTCATATGAACTCAGCCGTTGAGTACCCTTGTGACCTTGCAACCATTGCAACATATCAATAATTCTAGAGGCATTAAGAGAAGTTAAAGAGAAAAGTTTGTACAAAGAATGCAGAGTTAACCGGATCAACTTGATGATCAGGTTTAATGTGTGATAGTATAACACACTTTTGGATAAACAGAAAAGCTCAGAGTGCAATATAATTGGCCATCGACTACAGAAATTCATATCATGTTATAATGAAACAAACACAGGCAAACCCTATAGGGACATGCAATTGAAGCTTCTAAAATTTTACTAAATGTAGGAAGTAAGATCACAGCGGTTGATGGAAACAACAAAAGACGAGCATTCTTACGTTACAAAGCCGCTATCCAAAAATTGATCAACGTTCATATCCTCGCCCAGAACAACTTTTGCCATCATCCTATTGCGCTTCTCCACTCTAAACTCAGCCAAGTAAAGAAATGCTCGAGCAACCGCGAGAGTTGAGACAAGCAACCAAACAGATGCGAAAATTCGACCAGGTAAGGACTCAAAAGCCCTGTCACCATATCCAACGGTAGTAACCGACATAACTGACAGATAGAAGGAATCTAACCACCCAAGCTTCTCAACATAATGCATCACAGCAACTCCGACTCCAATGCAGATAATCACAACAATCAATGCCAACGCCACCTTCATCCGAATCCTCATCCTCCCTTTCTTAACGTCAATCAGAAACCTCCCGGGATCACTACCATCCCCACTTTTGAGCCTCCTCAAAAGGTATCTCTCTTGCAAGTCAAGAACATAAGCAACCATGCCACTGAGCCAAATATCAAGGAACCCAAAACCCACGAGTACAAACAAGATAGAGAAGAGTTTAGTGGCAGGATTATCAGGGGTTATATCACCATACCCAATTGTACACATAGTGACTATGCAGAAATACAAAGCATCAACCACAGGGTGCGTTTCCCTAGCCTTAAAATGGTGCCTGTTCAAAGAGTATATAATCACACCAAGCGTGAGATACACAATCAACAAAACTACAGCTTGTCTTACTTGTGATTGACCCAATATCGGTGGCGCCTTAGGAACTGATGATTGAAGAACCTCGTTGATTCCCGCCATAGCAGGGGCAGTTTTGGACCTATGAATTTTTCCCCTTGATGGAATAGTTGGGTCAGTCAACCAAGCCTGTTGCTGCTGAATTTGTGGTTCAAGATTACATTTTTCGGCAAAAACATCAGAAGCAGAAAACGGGGAGGTAGGAATTGTTCTTGGAGAATTATAATCACTGGTGTTTAAATTCAATGCATCAAGAAGACTGGAAGAACAAGCAGAATCCCTCAAGAGGGAGGAAGAAGATGGTGAAGGCGAGAACCCGAATACGAGCCGGTCTTTCAATTCGGAAGGGGTCATGGGATACGGCGGAGGGACTGTGATTTCGTCATTTTCCGGCAAAGGGCAGAGTGTTAGTGGTGAAAGTGACGGTGGCGGAGAAAGTAAGGGTCCCCTGGGGTGGATGATTGGGAGAAGAGGCTCTGTTTCCATATGGGTTTGGTTCCCGAAAAAAAAAACACGATTTTCAGACGGCCGGTGTACCGGAAAAATAATCAAACTGGATTAAAGTTTTCTACAAGAAGACGGCTAATGATTGCGTTTCACTGTTAGAACGAAGAAATGCCAAAGAAGAAAAAATTGAGAAGAATTGTCAAATCACCATTTTTATTATTTGCTAGTGTTAATTGTTAAGGAGACAAAAGAGCAACGGTGATGGCGTATATCAGTTGAATATCCCCCAAATAAGACTGGGAGAAAAATAAGGCGGCGTTTGGTTTGTGAATTTTTCTACTAGAAGTATTTTATTTGTTTCTCTTCTCTCTCTCTCTCTTACTTCTATGCGAGAAATTACTTTAATTGGTTCGAACTTCGATACAGATGGCAGGAAATTTCTCAGGAAAAGAAAAAGAAAAAAAGAAAGGGAGAAGAAGAAAGACCCAGAATTACTCATCAATATACATCGTACAATGGAATCAAGTTACACAGCTAGTATATGCATTTATATGTGAGAGGAACCAATAATTTGAGTATTTGTACATATATATTCACTTTGATTTATAATAATTTGAGTAGGTATATGAATATTCACTTTGATTTGTAAGCAACAATTGTTATAGTAACAGTTAGTACCCCTCCGTCTCAAAATTATTGTCCTGTTTGAGTTTTTATTTCTAGTACAAGTTGTAATAAGAGTGAAAATCCTTAACTGGACAATAATTATATGACAGAGAGAGTAGTTCATAAATATTTGGTGATGAGAAATTCATAAATTCATTATTATCTTCTTCATTTAAAGTGACAAGACTAAGCAAATACATGAAACAAGTGGTTAATGAATCAGACATACTACTTCAGGGTACGGAAACGTGGGAGAGAAAAACCTAAAGATTATAATAATGATAATAATAATATTTTATTTTAATAATCAATTTTTGTTGTAATGAAAAATTTATACGTTTTTAGTAAGTGTAATATGGAATTTTATTTTGGACATTACCACATGGTTCTGGAAATTAACCTCAAAACAAAAAGAGAATGAATATGGGATACTCGTTTGAGTGTCACAATCATCCATTTTGCTTACGAGGATTTGTATGTTGCATGCATGTACGATTATTATCCATACAATCTTTTGATTTGCTTCCCCCGACCCGACTCCACCTAGTTATTACGATCGCGACACATCTGGAGAAGAAATTTATATTTATATATATATATAATCCTAAAAAATTCCCAAAATCCTGAATTTTGTTTTTACAAGGAAACTGAGAAATGAAAAATAAAACAAAGACAAAGATGGAAGGAACAAACAAACAAACAGAGCCTTAGGACTAAGGAAGGAAGAAATAGAAAGGTAGACGAGACGAGATAGAGAGAAGGAGAATACAAAATGACAAAAGCGTCACAATTTTGGTGCCAATCAAAAGTCGGGGGTGATTCTCGTGAATTGGATGAGTTCCGGAGCGTTACATTTGGACCAGTTCTTTCTTCTTCCTTTTCCCTTTGGGTTTCGTCTTCAAAAAATGCTGAAATAGATATTCTTGTAGCCACTTTATTATCAAAAAAAATTGACATTATTCCCATATAATTCTTCAAACCAAAAAACTCCAACTCCTATCAAATTGACCCACTTTTCTAATTAGTTGGTGGTACCCTATGTTTACGTTTACATAATGATTGGATCTAATCACTTTAGTATTTTTTTTTTTATTTTTTGGATTAAGAAAAAACTACAATTTATTGTGACATTATTAGTGAGGGGGGCCGTTGAGTAGGAAAATGTCAAATTAGTACTACTGGGTTCAGGGTCTTTTGTTTGTTTTGTAATCATCATCATCAGCGTTCTGTTCACAGCTGGATTTGCCATCTCTTAACTCTTATTTTATGTGCTTGTATCACATTTCTTGGAGATTTCATTAAGCAGAAAAGACTTGTTTATTTTAGACAGAAACACCCTTTATAAGTAGCGCAGTAAAATATAAAATTGTTTTGCAGGTGACCGGGAGCTGTGTAATTGTTTAAGCTTTGTTTCAGAATCCAAAATAAGTGTCTGTCAACCCATGCCGACTTCTGCAACTGGTTTAAGATCCAGGACAACGTCGTCGCCGACACTTTTTGAGTCACCAAATCGAATCATCAGTTATTTAATTACAACAGTGTACAAACTATAATAACACCAGCAATTCGAGAGGGAGACATTTAAGTGAGAGAAGATACTGAACATTTATCTGTCCTTGGGAGTGCCATATTCGATATAAAATTCTCCCCTCAACAACAAAGCACTCTTAAACCCGTTACACAAGATACATAAGGCTGCGTCTTGAGCAGAGCAACCAGAATACAAGCAGATCCCAACCAATCTAATCGTCGTCTTCGAGAACATTTCGGCGTCGTTGGATCTAGTAATTTCATAGAAGAGAGATAACAATAACAAGTCATGCCAGTGTACATTAATGAAAGGTACAGAAAGAATGGGTCAGGTTGCAAAAGGGTGCCACTTACTGTCACTTTAGTCTGTTTAGTAGTTTGAGTGTTGATTTGTTCGAGCAACGTTATCAGCCTCTCCTCGGAAACCTGCAACATCGCAGTGTTTATGATTGTAAAAATACATTTTTTCCATACAAGAATTCATTATGGCAAGTATACTGTCTAAGTAATACGATCTCCAGTAATGGTTACCTTTTCAGCAATTTGCCCCATTTGAGCAGCTCTAATGATAACATCTTCGACACCTCGAGCTTTCTCTGGCTTCACCAACGCAATTCGAGCGACTGAATTTACGAAAAAAGAAAGGCTGAGATTCATTGTAGCCCAAGAAACTGTAGATAACCAGAAGACTGGTGACAGAAACACCTGAAAAATTTTGATGTATGGTGGACACCCATAAACTAGGATTGGGGTGGGAAACTCATGGAATGATTTTGGTCTACCCAGCAATAGTTTTCATTCCATTTCCATTCCCTTTGCCCCATACAAATGATGTACACCCTAATTTTTTCCGTAAGAGAGTTCACATTGTATGAGTAAATAAACAATTTTTTGATTGAATGACAAGCACCTACAACAAAATGGTGATTCTCTAATGGCATCCCTGAACCTCCTACCATGACCCTAACTTAGCGCAATGATCTTGAAGAGAGAAACCAATTTAGAGAAAGTTAGGCCTTCAATTATTTAGAGAACTTAAAGATAGGAAGTTCACACAACAATATGACTAAAATTTTAGATTCAACTTACGCAACAGACAATAACTCCAACATGAAAAATTTAAACAGGGAACAGGCACAACAAATGGGAAAAGAGGGGATAAGCATAAGAAAAAAAGACTAGTAGATGTTCTATAAGCATATCACTTAAAAAGCAATGTGGGAGTGAAGCACAAACAATAAATAAAGAGATTACTCAGAGATGTGAGACCCTTAAGAAAGCCATCAAGCTCTACAGACATAAGATACCTACAATTGCAATGACCAGGAAAAAGAAAAAAAGAATAAAAATCAACGTTCTATTCTCACTTACGCCTTTCTCGTGCTTCAGATGTCAAAATCTGGCTCAGCATCATCTGCCTTCTTTCATCAGCCTCCCTGAATCGATGCATCAATTAGTTCCAATGAAGAAACAGTAACTAGTTCATAGAAAAAAAGGACAATATTATAAGACAAAAATTAAGCTAAACTACACAAAGACAGAGATACCTCTTAGCATCCTCCTGGGCTTTTTGCTGGTCTGAGCTTTGTGAGTTTCCCTAGTTTACCATAGTTTTAGTACGTGAGTCTAACAAGAAAACAGAAGTTTTGAAGACAAGATTCATTCATGGGAATGTACTAAGGCTATCACTAACCGCTCCCTGTCGGCCCATTAGCTCCTGCATCCTTCTTTGCCGAATAGCTTCCAATTCAGGGTCAGCCTACAACCAAAGAAAGTAAATCACATAAGCACGGCACCTCCTGAATTATTCTATTCTTCTCAGATTCACAAAGGACTAAAGCAAGTAAATGTGTCATGCCCTTCACTATCTATATTGGAACTAGCTGCCAATCTAGCTCTAAACAATTAGCTACACAAGCAAAATTCACAGCAGATCTACGCATCCCGTTCACAAACATCACGATTTCTTAAAGTGTGAGATTTGAGCAAACCATTAAATTGTAAAGTCTAACGTGCAGAGTGTAAACCAACAAAAAGAAAAAATGCGGTTCAGATTCAGAAAAATATGGTGATCCAACTTGCCAATCCAAAAGAACAACATCAAAAAGAGCAAACTAAAACGAGAACCCTTTTCAGCTGAAAAAAGAAGAAGAAAAATAGAATCAATCCGGAATGTAACAATTAAGCATTAAAACAAAACCGGGAGCGAAGCTTTTACATGGGAGCATTTGCCCACGAGTTCCAAAACCCTTAATAAACCCGGAATAAAAATAAGAACCCTGAATCAAAACATTGAATTCCGACGAAAGTAAATGTACGAAAAGGTCTTTGCCACAAATGGTAATCCTAGATGCATAATTCGCGACAGTTCAAAAGAACTGCACAATTTCACAATTCAAAGAGGCGGAACCCTAGCATAAAAATTGAAACTTGAAAGCAACATTAAACATAAAAAGATTGTAAAAAAGCGGAGTTACCATTGTTGATTAGCAGAGAGACAACGACGATACTGAAACAGAGCAGGTGTAAGACAATGAGCAGGAGGAGAGATTCGCGATGAAGGTGCTTGTTAATTTACAAGACCAAAAAGATCTCGGCGTCGTTTGCACGCGTCCCGACTGATAGTATCGGGTTAATTGATTCGGGCCAACTCCGTTTTCTTTTTCTTTTTCTTTTTCTTAATTTGGTTTCCGGGTATAAATTTGGATAAAGTTTAGTTAAATAAATAAATTAAATTAGTTTATACAAAGAAAATAATTAAATTAGTGAAATAAGTTTAATAAAAATATGAAAAGAACTGTTTTCATGAAATAAATAATGTTTGTCGGATCTCCCTACTGTAGTTGGATTCATTTTCTTTTCTCCTAATGACTAGTGATGTCTGGTCGCGCAATTGGCCCAGTCTATCTGTAGATCTTAGAAATGTTTATATTTGAAAAAAATAAAATTTTGTATTTGGAGCGATATATTTTAGAAATGTTTGAAGGATTTAGAAATGTTTATAAGTGTGATCATAGAAATATTTGTATTTCGCAAAAAAAAAAAAAAAATTGTATTTCGCCATGTATGTTTTAGAAATGTTTTATAAGTGTTACTTATTAAATATAATTAGCTTAATCGAATATATGTGTTCAAATAAATGTTAGATAAAATATAAAAGCATCCTAATAAATTTAAATCTTAGTAAGATGATTTATTGACGTTCTCCATTGGTCGTACCAAATCAATACTTAGTTTTGGAGATTTTTAATAACTTTGTAATAAGCTTCATCCGAAGGGTTTTACGCTTAAAACAAAATTGACACTTTGTAACAAAAAACCTAATTGATCAATTTAATTTAAAAAACCACTCTAGTTGAATGAAACATAAAGAAAAAATTAAAAAAAAAAAACGTGTCACGTAAAGTGCAAAGGGAGATTTAGTAATTTAGTTATGGTTAGACAAAAGGGCAATTTAGTTATTTTCTACATGTCACGTGGCAATCATATGAGGTGTTTGAAAGGGAGGTTTTTGTTTCTAATATAGTAGGATTTGGGTAATTCCTCTCTTTTGATTTACTAGTTATGCTTTCAAAAAATAAAATAAAAAGTAAGTGATGAAAATATTTTCAAACATTGATATACTTCAAAATTTTAAATTTATACTGTATTTCTTACAACTCTATTCACATAAAAAAGATTTCTTTTAACTGTACAATATATTAGAGATATTTAATAAATTTCATACGTCGTGATTTTCTGAAAGTAGATAAATCATTATATATATATTAAAGGAAAGAAAGATAATCGACACGTGTCGCTAATTGAGAACATCAAGCATCACTTTTAATTTATTATCATTTTAGCCCTTAAAGTTTTATTTATGTGTTACTTTGTCTTCAATTTTATCGATTTTACATTTTCAATGACAATTAATTGTGTCTAATCCCCAAAGTCCCCTTGCCTATAAATAAGCCATAGGAATCTAGACATAATTTACGCATTTTTAATATATTTTTTAATCTAAACATAATATTAGTTAGTGGTGACAATTTTTATTATACAACTTTTCAAAATTTTTATTGTAATATTTTTGGCCAGATCTTACAAATATACATCTCATAAATAATATCAATAACTCTCATTTTGATCTAAAATTGATTAATCAAAAAAATTTACGGTTTTAAGAAATATTAATAACTACATTATCTAATTAATTATTTTGGATGAATTTTCAACATTGACAAACCCGCACAAAGCGCGGGACACATACTAGTTTATAATGAAAGAATGCACATGAATATGTAAGGATATTAATTTAACATTCATCGTGATTTCTTTGCTCTTTTCAGTTAAGGATGTTAACTTCATACCCGGTTTACAATTTAAATGAAACAATTTATTTATTTTTTTTTTGAAAAAGAAAAGAGCAAAGAAATACGTAAAATGTAAACCGGGTTTGATTTGCCTCCATAATTGAGCTATCGTCATTCGTCAACTCAACTAGAATCTCAGATTTCCTTAGTAAGCAGAATCTATGTAAACTGTACATTACGCTTCACGTTCGCATTCATCCTGTTGTTTTTATATTACTAAATACTAACTGATAGTAGAAAAGAGCAGAGATTAGGACCAGAAAACGGATCTTGTTCAATCATTAGTAGGCATCGAGTTTTAGCTTGGATCTATACTATTTTTCCTCCGCTGAAGAATTGAAGGAAGTAAAAAGCCAGAAGCTACAGAAGCCAAAAAAGAACAGATCTTTGTACACCAAAATGGGATTCACAATGGGTTTGAACATGATTCTGTTGTTAGCAATGGTGGCCACCAACATACTTTCACTCTACCACCTCTCTTCCAACCTCCAATCCAAACCCCCTGCTCCTCCCCCTGTTCCCGACCACCTCGTACGCCAACTTCAAACCATACGCGCCACCATAAGCCACCTCACGCGCCTCCAGCAGACCTCCAACCCTTCCACCTCCGGTGCCAAGGCGTCCCGCCCCAAAATCCCTTCTGATCTCCTCACTTACACTCACATTTCCCCTATTGCTTCTTCCTGTAAAGACTATCCTGAGCTACTGTATCAGTACATGAATTACACCCCTTTTAGTCTCTGTCCTAGTGATTCCCCTCTAGCTGAATCCCTCATCCTCCGTGGTTGCCACCCTCTGCCACGGCGGCGCTGCTTTTCCAGAACCACCAATGCCAATCCCACTTCACTTCCTACCAGCCCTTTTGGCACCATCCCGGATAACACTGTAAATTGGTCTTATTATAGCAAGGGCAATTGCAAAAGCTTCACTTGCCTTGCTAAATTGAGCCCTGAATTGGGATTTGATCTGAAAGTGGAGAAAGCTAAATTCTTGGAGTATAAAACAGATCTGGATCTCCCAATTTCACAGCTCTTGCAGCTTTCCAGGTCATCAAGAAGTTTTATTAGGCTTGCACTTGATGTTGGGGGTGGGACAGGTACATTTGCTGCTCAAATGAAGTTGCACAATGTGACTGTTATAACCACCACTATGAACCTTGGGGCACCTTACAATGAGGCAGTTGCACTGAGGGGGTTATTGCCTTTGCACGTTCCATTGCAGCAGAGGTTGCCAGTATTTGATGGGGTGGTGGATCTAGTGAGGTGTGGGCATGGAGTGAACCGGTGGATCCCTTTGACTGCCATGGAATTCTTGTTTTTCGATGTCGATAGAGTGTTGAGAGCTGGAGGATACCTATGGTTGGATCATTTCTTCAGTAAAAGGTTGGATCTTGTGAAGGTTTATACACCCTTGATTGGAAAGTTGGGTTACAAGAAGGTAAAGTGGGCAGTTACCAATAAGACAGATTCTAGTGGATTGAAGAATGGAGAGGTTTATTTGACTGCCTTGCTGCAGAAACCAATTTCAAGATGAGAGTTTTGTTTCAGGTATTGGCTTTGTCTTAAGAGTATGAAAGGTATTTGAGCTGCCATATTTGCAGTTTGATCTGACTTTGATTAGTAACTCCTAATGATTGATTATACCAAGTAGGAGAATTTTGGTGTTTGATTAACTTAAACAGCCTGTGAGTTGCTTTTGGAATCATAATGTTAGTGTTGAAATCAAACAGCAATTTTGTATTGAAGTAGGCGGTAGATTCTCTTTTAGCATATGGAGGTTGTTTTTCTTGGTGTCTTGTATCATATAAAACTTGGTTAGATATGCTCTGGCTGTACTTTGACCTGTCAAATCTGGAAATAATGCTGAGGCTTTATGAAGATTTCTATGCAATTCTACCAGGGAAGTAATCTGAGAATTTAACAAGTAATTAGTTTACAGCTACTCTTAATTTCATTTAGGATGTAAGGTTCAGATGTTTAACATGGTTGGTTGGTTCATTGAGGCAAAAAACTCTTTCAATATGAACAAGTCCGATGGCAATTGTAGAACTAGAGTACTCCTGTTTAACATAATTGATTGATCCCAGAGAAATGAGCAGCGACGAGGTGGTTGTTGGTTTTCAGAGTTTTTGTTCATTGCTCATGGGTAAAGTTACACATGACGATGAAATACCTGTTGGGTGTAGGGAGCATCACCTTGTGGTGAGAGATCTCAACATTGTCTGAACTCTGGTAAACTCAACTTGTACCAGCCATATGTAAATTTCATGAAAATATTATCCTCACAAAGTGGATCAGTTTTGATTTGTATTATGGTATCAATCTGGTCTTAACTACACATTGAATTTACGGGAGAATGCTTGCATAATGCTACAAGTACCTGTCATTACATTCTAAGTTAATTTTGCTACGAAGACTCTAGTCTGAAATGGCGAAGAGAGCTTGTTTGGATTTCTTTAAGTTGATAACACATGCTTCCGGGATCATAACGGTAGATGCACTACACATTTTTACAGATGTGTTATATTACAGTTTTAGTTATTGATGGAGGAAAATTAGATGTTAAATCTACTTCAATTGGTCTGAGAATGTGAAAGATCAGGAGAGTCGGAGGCAATGTGTCGCCGTTTAACCCGTAGCAACCTGTTGTGTACAATGAGAAGCTAGTGTAGTAGTCATTTTCTTTCCATCAAACCAAAACTGAAGATGCTCTTCTTTGTTGTAACTGTAACATCGCCCGTGTCAAAAGCTTAACAGAGTACCAGCTTTCTTTCACTTGTATGCATGCATAATCCTTTGAACGTTTTTTTCCACTTGAAAGAATAGTAACAGCAAAGCGTCATACAATATCTTTCTGAGCATTTAATGCCCGATTGAAGTGACTTCTTGTCATTTCTCCAGGATGCTACTGCTGAATTGTGACAAATCAATTTCCAAGAGCAAGCCCCTAGTGAGCTGATGTATAAAAGTGGAAGCTTTCCAAATGTAACATTTGGCATCAAGGATCTTACTCAAGAGCTGAGGACTACAACATGATGGTTCGGACTGCCTGAACAGCTGAAAGGATGCCATCTGAGTGGGAGAAAGGAAACAAGAAGTAAACTGATTGAGGCTGCTGCTTGTATCATGATGAACTCTAATATACTGTAATTACTGCCATTTTTTTTTTCTGTGTATTGTTTGATGAATTCTGATGGGGTTATCACTGTTTCAGAGTTATGGCTGTTTTGTGTGGCTGATAACCTTGATCGCTGATTTATGAAGGAGCCGAGAATAGAGATCATTGCCAATTCCATATAGAGAGAAGAGGTTTTCTTTTGGTTTTCAGTCAATTCATGCCCTTGTCTATTATCTTATCACCCATGCGGCCATACACATTAAAATCAGAATCGTGGCTTGAACTTCTAGCAATGTAATGCAAAAAACTGCGACAAGAAGCTCAAGTTGGGACAGAAACAAAAAAAAATGTAAAGAGCAAACACCAGAAGAGGTTCAAGAAAGTTTTGCCTCTCAGAAGATTAAATTTTAAGGGATTCCTGAGAAAACCAATCTGAACAAGCAGCAGAATGCCAAAGAGGTGACCAACTGCTTTACATTCACAAACTATATACTTCTCTATCAATTGCTTCCTGCTTTCCTGCTTAGGAGCTGTTGTAGATCAAGCCCATTGATCTTTGAGGCGAGAATGAAATCATTTTCTGTCAGTCCACCTGCAATTATTGTACATCATGTTAGCAGCCTCGTTTAGTCAAATGGAATTTTGGCACAAACAAAGAATTGCTTATTTAGTAACATTTTGATACGATTGAAATAAGGTGAACAAGGGATATAATACAAGCTAAGCTACGTAATACTCCAATTTCTGAAGATAGTTGTTTCTCCAAATATGACCTGACCAATTCTAAAGCTAAGTTTTTCAGAGACACAAGCAGATTATTTTGTATGAACATCCTTCCTTCGATGGAATTTTGTCTGGACCTAATTTTCTTTCCTTTTCTTCTGCAAATAAAATAACTGACATAACATCAACAGTTTGACTGCTGATGCAAACCTGAGCCAAAGTTAGCATAATTTAAATAAACAAGGCATTATAAACCATGATGTCTAATAGCATTGACTGGGGATGCACATAAGTGGCTATGTACATACGAAAAGCAGTTAGTCGCACAAATAACCAGAACAAGGAAAGTGGAAAGAAGAAAAAAAGAAGTGCCAAAGTGCTCTTACCCACGGCATGTGTCCAAATGTCAATCTTCACATTGTTCCATCCCACAAGATGAAGATCTGGATGGTGTCCTGCAGCAAAGAGATTTTTATGCAGTAAGTTTGCTGTCTTTTATAATCACAATTCGTATAAGAAACCTCAAGTAAGCTCAAAGTTCAAGTAGCACTCTAGGTCAAGCAATGGAGCAATAATTCAATCTTGTCTTACATCCATATTTGGCCCTTTGTATTATTTTACTTCAGGCACCCACTTTCCGCGCCTAATGATAAAGTATTTCGACTATTTAAGCCAATGGCTTATCTACCGACACAGAACTAGCTGGCAAGGACTGAACACAATTTCAGCAAAAACATCCAAAACCAATAGACAGAAAATAGCACCGGCTATGACATTCCAAAATGCTACCAATCCCAGCTGCAACTCGGAGGTAAAAGGAAGCGCATGTCAACAGTCATCGACTAAATGAAGCCTCTAACAGCCAATATCAATTTATGCTCATGGATCGACACAAAAGGAAGAAATGATTTTGCTGAATGAATTGACATCTAAATCATTTCCCATACTACAGCTAAACCCAAACCTCCCATGCCAAAGACTTAAATGCATATAACAAATCAACATAACATATGCATAGATCAAATTTAGACTAGAAACACCATCTCTAATCTCAATGAGGCCAAATGGATATAAAACTGGGTAGTCAGAGGCTAGAGCTTATGGCTGCAGGATCTACGTTGTGCAACTCTTGTTCTCAAGAGAACGTAGAAAACACTCGAAAGGTGTCAGAAATTTTAAAAGGAAGCGCATGTCACAGTCATCGACTAAATGAAGCCTCTAACAGCCAATATCAATTTATGCTCATGGATCGACACAAAAGGAAGAAATGATTTTGCTGAATGAATTGACATCTAAATAATTTCCCATACTACAGCTAAACCCAAACCTCCCATGCCAAACACTTAAATGCATATAACAAATCAACATAACATACGCATAGATCAAATTTAGACTAGAAACACCATCTCTAATCTCAATGAGGCCAAATGGATATAAAACTGGGTAGTCAGAGGCTAGAGCCTATGGCTGCAGGATCTACGTTGTCCAACTCCTGTTCTCAAGAGAACGTAGAAAACACTCGAAAGGTGTCAGAAATTTGAAACACTACTCTAGCCAGTATGAATAACCGACATTATACTTGGAATCTCAGGTAATAGAAAGTAAGACTTCACTATTTCATACAGATACCTTCTGCTTCAGCTACATTAGCCACAAGTTTGAACAACTCCAACCCTTTCAAGAACGTCTTTACTTTCCAAGTGCGCTGCAGCTTCATCGTGCCATCTTTAGTGACCAAATTCCATCCAGTTACCTGAACATCAGACCTTGTAATGAAGAGGGCATGATACAAGAGTATCAACCTAAAGTACATCCAGATTAAAGAATAACCTGAGAAATCAATTTATGTGCAGCATCATCTGACATAGGTCTCAGATCCTTGGCATTACATGGCACACACTTCTTGGTTGATAGATCTGACATGCCAATTTTAGAATTATTCCCAAGAACTTACTTAGGAGAACCTAACGAAAGAAAGGTTTGAGCTCACAGAGTCATATCTGACTTCATTCCCAAAGGCAGACATAAATAAGGAAAACTAAAATACAAAACCAGATAAGACCAAACTCTGAAGGTTAAACATAAGTCTTGTCATGCAACAACAGAGACAAAAAGCAGCGGAGAAGAATCATCTTGTTCCTTCAAACATTCAGTAAAATTAATTTTACTTTTTAATTTTTGGGAAACACTCGAAAAGAAGGCTAAAATAGTTTAAAAAATTATTCCAAATTTAGAAATTTTCTTACCCACAGTCAGAAAATGCATGGAAGGACAAAGTACTGTGTCATGATTGAAATGATAATCAGACCTCAGTTTCAATATTTAGACGCACCTGCTGAGGAACAGAAAGTCCTAAAGCCATTATGTATATAATTACACAATGAAAATCCCTCGCGGCCCAGAAGTTTCTCAGCTACGTGAATGTTTCAGCTGTATGTGAACGGATAAGTGTTCGAGTGTATACAAGTTATTCATAAAACAGGAAAATACCTTTATAAGTTCCTTCCCATACACACAAAAACTATTACATCCTTTTAGTTACATGCTCTATAAACACAGGGGGAAAAACATCATGGAACAGCAGGCACTGAATGAATTGAGAAAATTTTATCACCATAAAGAGAGTTATTAGTCATGAAGGCATGGATATGTACATACAGAAAGGCACTAATTAGACAACCTAATGCAAATGCTGCCATACATATAATGACAATGGAGTGTTGAAGTACAAAATTAACACGGAGAACCCAACTTCATTGCAATAAACACTACAAGTATTGACTAATGATACTCAGTAACTTTCTGCAGTATTGACTTAAAGTATTGTGGATATCATATCAAAACTACCTAAAATTAGTTAAATTCATCAGCATAATTCCAGCTAGAAAAATATCATACTCCAGATCACCACATATTTATGATTCCAAATATATTCAACCCAACCAAAACAAATATAGATGCAAAAGGCTACTTCTCAAACAATAGACATATGCTATCTAGTTATTGTTGATCATGGAGTCAGAAGGATAGAAATCAAACTGAAAAATGACAAACAAAGCAAAGACCTATACAAATAGTATTACAAATTCAATTAACAGAGAAGAGACATAACAATTAAAAAAATTAAAGAAAGAAAACTCGATGATACTTCCGCACGCTAAACACGTCCAATCAATCCAAGGACCGATAGCTAACATGCACCGAAAAAAAAAAAAAAAACCCTACTAAAATCGCCCTATAAATCCATGATCGATTTCGTCTACACTGAACTAAAAAATGAACAATTAAGAAATGGGAACAGTGAGAAATTACCGTCCATGGTGTCTGCGAAAGTTCTGCGCCAGGGACGGAAACCACACCTTAAAATACTTCAAAACAAAAACCATAATCAAGAACCAGCTAATTTATGCAGTAATAAACGAATATTGCTTATAAATGGAGGACAGAAAAATACGAACCTGAAATTGCACAGAGGTCCGCAGCATGGACTCGTTCCGGTATTATGACTGTAACTGAACTGCCACTATGAACGGGGAAAGTAGAGAGAAGAAGACGGTGGCTTTTTGGGCAAGATATAATTTGTTTTTTCCGAAACTTTTGGGGTCAAATTATAATACCTAATAATTTAGAGGGTGATTTTTAATATCCATATTTATTATGGCCAAAATACAATTAATCAAAACTACAACCAGCAATAAAAAAAAGAAAGGGAAAATCCCCACGGAGTTGAGCTTCTTCCCTGCGAACGCGAGTGTCCAAAAGTTTTGATCGATTTGCGACCTTCGGCCCCGAAAGATCGCTCAAAAATGGTCAGAATTCTGTAGTATTTTTCTCTCTCACACACTCACACAGTGAAAACTGACTAGTTTATGCACACTTAGTCTCGTATTTTTTATTTAATCAACTGCATCACTGTTTTTGTTGCTACAATCACTGCATGCGGTTATTTTAGATATCACACTCATTCCGAATTCCGTAATTGCGTGTGGATTTATCTGGAAATTGAAAATTGGCGTTCATCTGATCTTCTTGCTTGTTTATTTTGCGAGCGCTTCTGTTGATCTACCAATTTGAATTTTGCTTCATTTTTTTCCTTGGGGGACGGAATAGACAAGATTATGCTTTCATTTTCTGTTTGAACGTGAAATCAGTTTGTCATCTTTTTGATCTGCGAAATGATGATTGTTTTATTATATTTCTGGAATGAATTAGGAAAATTATTTGATAATTTCTTGAAGAACGTTAATTGTTATGTTCCTGGCTTATGCCTTTTGTACTTCTTAGGTAAAGAAATTAATCCATGAAATAAAGGTTTGAGATTCCGTATTTGGAATTTGATCACTTGATATGATATACTTTTAAGCTGTCACAGTTGAATATGTGAATATTAGCTTTTCCGTTTGAAAGACAGAAATCTAAGTCTGTATAGCATTCTTACAGATTGCTGAGATATGATTGATTAAGTTATAGGAATTTATAGCTTTTGATAACCACTTAAGAGGTGAACATAACATGTGAAGATGCATAACGGTATATGAATATGCTGGTATTAAGGAGACATCAAGGATCATCACTGTTAGAGCTGCATCATGTAATTCAAATTAGCAGACTCATTTTTTGAAACCTGATTATAATGAAGGAAAAATTATTTCATGTATTGTTTAAACACGAGAGAAAGCTAATATTTATCTGTCACTTGTGATGTAGGGAAATAGTTCAGTTTGAGAAGTCGAGAATTTACAAATGGTTCTTCCCTTCTAAAACTTTATAGGGACACAAAGCCTTTAAACAAGAAGAGATGGTTATGAGAATGCACAGATGAAATTGAAATCTGGATTGTCTCATGCTAGTTTAGGATCTGCCTTAAGATGAACTCACCAAACAGAGACTAAGAGCCTCGTTGTTCATGCGAAAAAAATATGGAGAAGTCATAAAACAAACCAGAAACTTTAGATGATTTTCAAATGAGAAATTATGTTCTTTAAAATTAAAACAGATGAGGATAGAACAGACCAAAATGCAAATGTTTTTCTTCTCCGTTTCTTTTTCTTGTTTACAAGAGATTTAGTCGCCAATATAATATAAACAAGAGCAGTTTATAAAGAGCTGTTGCATCTGTTCAATTCGCTTGCTTGTCTGTGAAAAAGATGTGGATAAACAAGTTGTGTGCCTGTCTTGCCATTTTTATTTCATTGGCTTTAGAAGGAAAATATGTTGATCAATGCTTGGATACGATATACTTTTTATCTATTGTTGAGTTTTTGGTAGTAAAATTGTCACAAAAAAGTTTATGCCTGCTGCAATGTAGATACAGGATACAAGGTGATATAACATGCCGCAAAGTGTTGATTAGTTATGTGAGTTATTATCATCCTGAAGCGGATCGACAAACTGATTATCATTTCATTTGATAAAAAATCTCAATGCTTCATACTTGTAGGAAACATGCCCTTCAGTTAAGAACATTCTTCTCTTAGATTCAGAAGGCAAACGTGTGGCTGTTAAGTACTGTTCAGATGACTGGCCAACAAATGCTGCGAAGGATGCTTTTGAAAAATCAGTATTTAACAAGACTCAGAAGACAAATGCCCGGTCAGAAGGTGCTGTTTATTTTTTTAATCGATGAATACTTTTTTGGTCTTAGAATGAGATTGAGACTTATTGATTCAAGTGGTTTGGTTTTTTTTTTTCCTCGTCACTAGAATGCATGATAAATAAACAAGATGGAAGTAGTACTGTAAGTGTATATTATTTTGCAACTGAAGGCTTCTTTGACCATGGTGCATATAATGCGGTCAGTTGCGCAAATTTCTGTATCATCACTGTCAGCACTAATGCACAATAGTGACAGATGATCCGTATAGCAGACCATACACGTGAGATAAAGGCTATTAGTGGTTGTGTTTTGTGCATTCCTGAGTTTGAATTTGTTTAACCCTTTAATGGCATATCAGCATACACTGCATTTAATTTTGGACGGGCTACATGATGAACAATTTAGATTGATCTGTTATCCAATTCTTCATTTTTTATTTTTATTTTTTTGGTTTCTCTTTTGCTTTAGAAAAGTGGAGTTTGGTAATGATATATGTGCCCTTGAGATCGAAATGAAGATTTCTGCCGGCTTATTCTGTTGATTTTCTGCAGCTGAGATAACAATGTTTGACAATTACATTGTTATCTACAAATTTGTTCAAGATCTCCACTTCTTTGTCACTGGGGGAGAAGATGAAAATGAGCTAATCTTAGCAACTGTCCTTCACGGGTTCTTTGATGCTGTTGGCCTTCTGCTTAGGTGGCTCTGCTAGCTTTTGCCGTGTGCGTGTGTGTGATTTTTTCTGATTTCTTATAACCGTTTAGAATATTCTTTGCTAACTTAATGCCTTCGTTTTAGAGGCACCGTGGATAAGAAGGAAGCGCTTGAAAACCTGGATCTCATTTTCTTGTGCATGGATGAAATCGTTGATGGAGGGTATGCAAGATTCATCTTCATTTCCCGTTTCTGTTGCATGAATGCATCCATATGGATAGATAATCTTGATGGGCATTTTCAGTTCTTCATATTTGTATTTTTCTATGTTGGACGGGACATGTTTAATTGAAATGAAAAGGAAGTGTGAAGTTTAATCTTTTTGGGATTCCTGCTATGACTACTGCTATGATCTTACCTGGGGTGTTCTGGACTTTTATGGTCACTTTTCCTCACATAATGCTGTGTTGTGCAGTATAATTCTTGAAACTGATGCGAACGTTATCGCGGGAAAAGTTGCGAGTAACAGTGTGGATTCTGGAGCACCTTTATCTGAGCAGGTTAGATACCTATTATCATCAGATGCCACGATATAATTTGTTTTCATGATTTTTATTTGCCGTGCATGATTCACTAGTGAACATGTTTGTTTGCAGACAATAAGTCAAGCATTGGCAACTGCTCGTGAACATCTTACAAGATCCCTTTTGAAGTGATGATTTAATACATAATATCAGACAGACTTTGTGGATTGGTGCTGTCCCACAATTGGTTTGGTTGATGTCATTTTAAGGGTTTCATACAGTTCTGGGGATTTTGGCTTAGCTTCTATTGTACACTGTCGATTTTGTATGGATTATGTCTAGAAAACTTTAACCACAATGTGAAAAACTTACTATTAGGCAATGTTATAAGTACATTGTTGAATTCTCCAGAATATTTGCCAACTTCAATAGTAAAGTGATGATTTCATTTTCTTCTAGATTTAATAGTAATAGCTTTTTCTTTTTTTTTTGTGTTGGTACAAAGAAGGAGGTGTAATGCCTGGGCACTTATGATATTACATAGCGGGGGAGACCCCAATTATATGGTGAGCAAGCCAAGGATTTACACATGGGGGAGGAACTAACAGTTTCGAGTAGCCCCAAGAGTTGGGCCAGTGATAGCCTTCTGCAAAAGTATTTTGTACAAGGTAGGTTACTGCTGCAAGAACGTGAACTGAAAAACTAAAACTTGTTTCTGTCACTTTATTTTTTTTATTTTTTTTTTGGGACTTTCGTTATAATTGAAAGTAACAGAATTTACAGAGACTAAAGGATCTGCTCAGATCAAGACTAGAATTAGCGGCAACCAGCATATCTTAATCGATTAGAACATAATCTGCTTCCTGAACAAACTTGTCAGCCGCAGTTGGCGGTAGATTATTCCGAGATAAAGGTTTGCGAACCTGCGCGTGAGTCTCAGCTTCATGCTGGAACATCTTGACAAACTCTTGCAATTCCAGTTTCCTAACCTCGACTTGTTCCTCGGGAACTGGATTCTTTAATCCAAAATAGAGAAATCCAATTGCTATTAGCAGAATACCTAAGACCACAAGCAGGCCAGAAAATAGTCCAAAAGCGTACGGCGTGTTAGTGGCTCCTGGAATTCCGTCCACATTGATACCAAATAACCCGGTTATGATAGTAAGTACCAGGCCGCCTCCACCACAAACAGTCAGATTATGGGTTACTCTAAGGCTTCTATCCTGAAAGACCATAAAAAACCGAAAGCCACAAGTCAATTTCCGACACTACCAAGAAAAATAGTCAAGCAGAGAGAAAAAGTAGCACGAAACACAAACAAAAACACTCGGACAATCAACCAAAGTTCATAGAACTCGAGATACAAGTTACAATGCAGATGGCAGTGAACTAGAACGGGAAAACTAATTAGTGGCTAAGAAATACTCCCTCCGTCCCATAATTATTGTCCACTTTGCCCAAAAAATTTTGTCCCAAAATTATTGTCCAATTTGACTTTTTATGGATCAAGTTACACATTTGTCCTTAGTAAAAAACATTATCCATAAAATCTTAGTGGTTAAACAATTACTTATGTAGGGGTATATTCGGTTGTTTAAGGTAAAATATAGTTAAGTTTGACCAAAAATAAAATCTTTCATTTTAGTAAAACTGGACAATAATTATGGGACGGAGGGAGTATTACAGATTAAGATGAGAAATGATGGTCCGACAGGATAAGGATGCATACAAATGTGTACAACATGCAACCGAGGGTGGAGTTCAACACAGGAGTATTTTATGCAAGATTGTAATTGAAATCAATTCTAAAACAGTATGGCAATAGAAGTGTATTGAACAAAACCAGAATTCTTTGGATGGAACAAATTAAATAGCTAGTTCGCTAAATAATTTCTGGGCTTGTAACTTGAGTTAAAACAGTCAACAGACCTGCAACCATGCACGTATGGTACTCTGCATGACATCTTGGATGGTAAACAAGCGGCCTCGAACTGCTTCTTGCTCCTCTATCATCTCACGAGTACTATTGCGTACTCCTTCTAGCAATCTTTTAGTTGATATGCCTTTCAAATGCTGGAGAAGCTCAAACACAATCTCCTCTCTAGCATGAAGTGACCATTTCACCCTGATAACCTGCAAAGAACATGACCAATGACAGTAAAGCTGATTATCTGATATTACTGGCTGTGCAGCAAGCTTATTGACTTTCCAACACTATGAAATACAGAAGAAATAGAAACAAAGAACACCCATCCTCAGCCAAACCGAGAGCTAAAATATGAAGAACTCGTAAAAAGTTGTGCAGCTCATGGAAGAATACTTTGATTCTGTTTAAACGTAATTTCACTGGTCAGGTTGTCTACATATTGCATGTCTTCCAGGAAAATATGCTCGGTGCTCCGAGTCTATAACTTCCAGCTCAATGCAAAAGACTGTTTCTGAAGAAATGATATGACATTTTTGCATCTACCGAATTAAGTCACATGTAATCTAAGTGAATTCAGCATATCACGGAAGGTAACATGACTACAAATGCACCTCTGAGATAGTTGTTAAAAACAGATGCACAAGATTAAGAAAAAGAATGGATGAAGAAGAAGAAGAATGTTGTCAACTTTCTAGATAATGGATAAGCAGCTAATAACACCAAAAGTTTTCTTATAACCCTGTTAAGATATGTTACAAAACGATTTGAGCCACATGGCCTAAAGATGCCGTACTGTTTCTTTTGATTTAGCCCACAGGTAGCTGTAGAAATTTGGACACAAGATTGTCCTTCCAATGGGTTTAAAGTAGCAAGTATAGCCAGGAAAACTACGCAAAACAGATTGTGTTTTGCTCCAGAAGGTGACACAAGAAACTCACAATTCACATCACCATGACTGACGTGTAAAACGTATCCTACAAACAAAACTTTGACAGGATTGGATCAAATCAATTGCACATACAAGACAAGAAAGGCCCATTCTAATGCTGAAAAAAGGAATGGCAACCTCTTCTTTACCTCATATTGGCTTCCCAAGCATATCCATTACTTAGTTATCATGATGAAATGCCTTCTGAGAAAACCGACACATGCATTACCAGAACAAAATTTTAAAATACCACAAGTAAGAGCACCGATGTACCTGCATTGATAACCTTCTGATTTCTTGGTTCAAAATTATACCAAAAAGATTCAGATCCTCATGGTTCCTCCTGTTCGTGAATAAGATTTCATCAAAACAGGGAAAGAAATAAAAGGTGTTCAGAAATATCTCCAGGTAAGAAACTAGTACCTGTTCATAAATTTCAGTTCAAGTTCATCTGCCACTCCAAATATGTTTTTCCTGAACAATCTAACAACAGAAACAGCATCGACACCCCATTAAACCATGCATATAATGGACAAATATGACTTATGTATGGTACTCTACTTCATATGAATCTTGCAGTACTGTCCGAAGTATTTTTAGATCCCATAGTTAACAGTTAAATGTTTAGAACGTAGTTTTGCCCACATGCATCATCAATCCTTAAATACGCACCTGGACCCGACACCCACCCCAGTCCAGGTAATAAAAGTAACCCCAGTTATTTGCAAGGAAGATGATTTAGTAGCAATATAACTTGTAATTCATGTCAACGGTCAAGTTTTGAAAGGTTTCTGCACCCCCTGGTTTTGTATCTCTACATCACACTATAAAAACCAACTTGCAAATGAGGCACTAACATATGTAATGATTACATTTGGGCTTCTTCTTTTCAATACTGTTACGAAATGCTAAAACCCAACTTTGATGAACTATTTCTCAAGTACCGAGATATTTCTTAGTAAAAAACAAGGAGGTGAGGGAACTAGAAAAGCCCAAATTTAACAAATTAAAAGTGTTTATGAGCAACAAAGAGAAAGAGGCTTAATGTATATCACCATGATGGTGATGCATGATGGAATCCAATGTCAATCCACTCCCAGATGAAAAGAAAATGCCTCACCTGTCATCCCATCGAGCAAGCCGGGTAGCTAAATGTGCTATGACCCCATGGGCTGTTGTTGGTGTACAGTAACCGCCAGCAAGTAGTAGTTCCTACAAGTAAAGAACACAACTAGTTGAAAGCTAAACTAGCCAAGCTGCCTTGAACTTTGCAAAATAAACTAAATTTATAGGTGAAACATTGCAAATCCTGAATGTTCATTCGTAATACCAACTACAACTGCAACTATTCCGCCAGTAAAGTGAAGAATACACTCTAAGAATACTAAAAATATAAGGAAAATACTTATTGCGGGCCAACTTTGGATAGCTAGAGATAGGATCACAAAAATTAATTTTGAGAAGTATGTGGTTCTCCACTTGCATGTATATATACGGGGGTGATTTTGTAGCATATGTATTTATGTGCAGTTTATCATGTGAGTGCTTGAAGGAACAGACCAGGACTTCCGTAATGCCCAGGACATTAATTCTTGATGCAGACCCTTTTACATGAAGAGCAGTAATCAGGAAGTTCTGTGATTGCCAAGAACGAAGGACAACCGGAATATCATCTTCATCAACATAGGGATCTCCTGCAGATTGTCCTAGCAGCTCAAACAGCAGGCCCCCAGCCACCCTAACTGGAACCTGCAAGGAAGTTGAACATTAATTATAAGTGAAACATGACTTCTACTTTGTCGCACATTTCTTATTTCCGGAGATAGAAGAAATGATCTTGCATGTCATGGCATAATTTTCCATGGTGTAAGAACAGCACATAGAAAAATAAATAAAAGTAGCAACATAAATCCAAATTTCCTCTTCAAATCATGATACAGAGGAGTTACACTTTTAAGAATCAATGCTCCTTCAGTATTTCCCATTGACTGAACTTTAAAGTTAGGAAGTCCTTATCTTGCTCAGTTAAATCCCATCTTTTCACCAACATATTATAATTGTTCATTATGGAGGAATTGGGGATAAATGTCGACATGAAGCAACTAAAACACATTCACAAAGTGCCCCCATGCTTGTAATTAAACTTTTCCCATAAACTAATGATGACATGAATCAGCTAGGACATCAGTTTCAACCCAAGATGATTTATCAATGACAAAAAATCAACCATTAAGAACATAACAATGGAAAACGGAAAACCTTTATTCATGTTGTGCAAGATACACTAGCATGTTTTGTGAACTTTATGAATAAAACACAGTCGCAGAAATTTGAATGGACAAATTCAGGAAGCAAACTTGCATGCTTAAAAGGCACCTACCTCATACAGGAGGTGTTTCATCCGTTCACTTATTAATCGACTTTCATCTCTCAGAGCAACAGAAATTGCAGGATGCAGCCACTGGGCGCTGTTAAGCCAGGCTTCAACATATGGATGTCCTGCAGAAACATGACACCACCACGTGGGCCCAGCCTGACGCTCCCAATAAGGAGCAGCTAGATCAGCAACTGTGATATCATCTTCATCATCCATCAAATCAGTTGGCTGCATAGACCATTGGGTATCTACTTGAATAGATTGAACTAGTTCGGATATTCTAGCCCATCCAATTGGAATCCAATGACTCCCTTCAGTCCTTTCCATGAAATGATCACTTTCTGGATGATGGTGGTGTCTATCTACTTTATCAACCGAAACACCATGGCCATGTGTTCCAATCTCAACAGGAGCTCCCAACTCGACAGAATTTTTCATCCCTCTTCCTTGAGCGAAATGCTCGGGCGCTCCTTGAGTGCTTCTTTGAGCAGAAAGCTCAGCCCCTCCTTGAGCATGCATTTGTTTCTTAACATTATCAACTTCTACTTGAGGTACTGATGGAAGTTTCGAATAAGATTTTGGTCGACTGGGTTTTGGTAGTGTCCGGACAAATTCAAAAGCACAAATGAGCCCATCTGTCCAAAGTTCACTCCCTGGAATAACATCCTTACTATGATGGCTTCTATGGTTTTCAGGCTTTTTCACAGAGCTGGGAAGAGACTCTTCCTTTGTAGCTTTCATACTGTGATGCATTAGAAGTGAAAGCTGAGCTAGAATAAGATGCAACCACTTTCCACCTATAGGAGAGCTTCCCTGAAATGAAGATTATGAGTTTTGTCAATATAAGAACAGTGAGATCAAGGTCACTAGTCAGAATCTTGTTGGAGAAACTGCTGGACTTGGGTAGTTTACAACCAGAAAAACCTTCCAGAAATCGGAATAATGTATACCAGATGTTTAAACAAATTAAATGGACATCAGTATGAAAAAGGGAAACAATAACCCAAAAGGGACGAGTATTCTGAGCTACATGTGCCTTGTATCCTTCCCCATAACTCAGCAAGAACACTTGCTCTCAACTTCAAACTCCTTCCAACTCCACAAGCACCATATAGGATTTCTCCCAGCCGGAATTCGACCAATTATACTCAAATAAAGCGGCAGCAAGATATCTCAAACTCATCTCCTTGCATCACATTTTAATCTTTTTAACATACAGGAAAGTATTAATCACAAAGTACGTAAGAGGGTATCATATTTTTAGCATTTTTTCGAAGAAAATCCATGAGCTTACTAGTTTCTGGCCCGATTTCGTCACATGAAAAATGAACCCCCGGAATAGGAAATACTTGCTACATACACACTCAAAATCAGTTAAGCAATGCTAAATAAAGCAAAAGGAATGATGGAAAAGTTACGGGCACACGTATTGGCGGAAGCAGAATTAAGAGAAATTACCAGAAGATTAGACGACAATGGAAGGTTGTGGATCCATAACAAAATTTATGGAGAAGCAAAGGAGTTTCAAAGAATCCCTACTCCCATTAGCCCACTTCACATTCTTAAGTTTTATCTGTTCCTTTGCCGCAATTACATACATATTTTCAAAATAACAAAAAATTAGTAATTTTAGGTCAATTTACCTCGGATCACACAAAACTTTTTTGCTGAAACCAATATATATATATATATATATATATATATACTTAATAGTTAAATACTGCCCTCTGGTCTTTTAATTAGTATAAGGCATAACTTAAACTAACTCTACTTTTATTTAATGGCTTAAAATTAGGATAAAACTAAGTACTAATTTCCCAATAATATATGCTCATTGTTGCATTTTACCGCCAATGTAATCATTTATAGCGTCTAAATTTTGGCCTGGATGGGGTATATATATGGTTAGGTTTGGACTGAGGCGTTTGCCAAATTTCGCATGCTTTGATAGAGCGAGATAAAAACTCAATTGACAGTAGAAGGATATATTACAAATGAACAAACCATCAATCCCCACAGTTTTGACATCTTTAGTTAGAAAGATTGATCTTTTATTTTAAATTTATATTTCTGGAAGTTAATAAAAACCGCATGGCATACCCCAACCAAACAAAAAATGTTTTAACCAACTGTACAAGCAGAGACCAGTTCCATACCATACAATCCAAGTTGAAACACAAAAACAGAAGACCAGAGGCTATATTCAATCATTTTTTTTTACTGATACATGGGTTAAAAAGTTAAAAAAGGTTAGACAGTCCAGCTATCATCATCCACTCCAAGAACAAAAACACCAATTCTACTCATGGCAAAAGCCCAAATTAAAATTAAAAGATAAAAGACCAAACATCATAAAAGGCGACCAGCGAGGCCACCAACACCACATTAGCAAGTTTCCCTACGTTACATTCGGTGCTAGGATATGTAAAATACAACCTCAAGGCACTGGGCAGCACCCACTCACAGTCCTCTTCAGGGACTTCCATAGCTTTATATAATTTCATCAGCATGACCACTTCAAGGTCACTTTCCATACCCGTTACAAGCCCCCGAAAAACCAAGAGGTGAAGGAGATTAGTAGTTGTTTTGCCATAACTGTTGAGAAGGCTTGGGTTGCCCTTGAGACCCACCAAGCGACCCATCCCTTGGGTTCTGCTGTTGGTGGTCTAGAGATATCCCAGTCTGAGAATGGTAGAAGTTTGGGTAACCCAGAGCACCATAATTTTGTGATGGCTGCTGAGCCTGTCTAAATCCACTAGGTTGCTGGCTTTGTCCCCCCTGAAAGTTATAATATGTGTTGGCTGGAACACCTGACATTGTTCTAGAACCAGCTCCGTGAAGCCACATACCAGAGTTGTCATTCTGGAAATTGATAAAGATGATGGCTGTGAGTAATCAAGAAAAAAAAAATCCAAAAAAACCAACTTGACCCATATACTGCACAAATTTGGCCTCTACAAATGTCTAAAAGTTGAGAGGGAGAAAAAATATGCCTTTACAAATCCTTTTATACATACCTGCTGCTGAAGAGAGATCAGGTGACTATTATCCTTGTATTGAGCATTCAACACATCTTCATAGCCTAGGCTTGATGCAGAAGGCGCGGCAGCTGGATTCATTTGGAAATTTCCAGGAATTGTAGTTGAATTCCCAAAGGAACCATATCCAGATGCAACAGGTGCTGACTGAGGTAAACTGCTAACAGATACACTGTTCTTGTATTGTGGGAGCATGGCTGCAAGAGATTGATGATATGATGCTTGTTGGAAAGCAGAGGGCACATATGTGTAGCTCTGAGGCAAGAATGGATAGCCAATCATGTTGGTAAAAGGTCCTAATGGAAGGGTAGGTTGAGAATATGGAGATGCAGCCAAATGTGGAGGAAGAGCAGGCCCAGTGGCAAGATTATTTCCTGATATAGTATGTGCGGTAGGCTGCATTAACAAAAAACCACCAGTATTTAGAGACGAGATGTTTCAGCATTTGCAACAAACCCCAGTTGGAAATAAAACAAAAAAAAAAAGAGGAAAAGGGCCCTGGATCCGTACTAATCAGGAACATAAAGAAAAGAATGCCTTCAACGGCTATATAGAAACTAGCATGAAATGTAAACTGATATATACCCTCTCTAAATCCAAGGCTTCAGTAGATTACTCTTCAGCGTAATTAAACTTTGCAAGCCCCGCCAATAGCATATAGCATAGTGCAAATCATTCGTAAAACATTTTTAAAGAAAACGACAACTGTAGATGAAGAATTATTTTTTAAATACAATTACCATGCCTGTCTTAACAGAAGGAAGACAGTGGAAGAAACTATCAAAAGATCAATCAAAAAAGGGAAAGGAAAAAGGACACACAGTTCCAAAAAAGTTGCCAGCAACTAACCTCATTCATGGAGATTGATGGGCCCCCAATGGATGAAGCAATGTTCCCATACTTAGTTGCCATCGACTGTGTCGCCGGAAATGGTGAGTATGGAATATCAGATTCCCTTCCAGGAGGAAGATTCGCTGCCAGCAATGAGTTCGGCAAAGAATTTGTATATGCCGGCTGTAAAAGTGAAGAAACTCAGTAAGCGAAAACACTCTCCTTAATACATCATAATAACAACTACCCTATTACACACATGGTTCGATCTATGTTGAGACGATATCTCTCACACACCTTCCATCTACTAGTGCAATCATCACAGCTAGAAAGAAGAAAAGACAACATGACAAAGCGCAGGGAGCGTGCCAAAGAGCAACTACCAGAATCAGTACTAACACACTTGTTTCCTAACACTTGCATGCAATTCAGTCCTGAAGGCCAAACATGTAGAGCTTAAGCTCAGAAAAGCTCAAACTACCAGGAAAGAAAATTTACACTTGGATGGCTTCAACACTGCCATATCTTGAAGAAAGCCTATACATCAGCAATTAAACAGCCAAACTACTAGCCCTGCCCAAAATGGCAAACTATGCAGATAGTATTGAGAAGGACAATGTTCTTACCAAATTATTTGAGAAGGGGGAAAGGTTTTGTATCTGGGAGCTCGTCTGAGATTCACTAAATCCAATATTCAATTGCTGAGGATTTTCAAATGCATAGTTAGGTGTAGATGAAGTGAATGCATATTGATTTCCACGATCAACCTCAAGGTTTTCAGCTTTCAGAGTCTCAGGTTGCGAAGGAGATGATGGATCATAGTTCCCAGTAGCAGCACTAGCTCTATGATATAAATTGCCTTCCGAGGCATTTCTATGAGGCTCTTCACTATAATACTCGGAGTTTCTGCAAGAGAATTATATCATAAATAGTTTTCAAAGAGGAACACTTTAACAAGCCATTATCCTGGGGTAACAAAATGCCACTTTTAGAACTATCTACCTCGTGTCAGTGTGTCCAACAGAAGAAACATCTGCCTCCAGCGGAGCCTCCTCCAAATTCGCTTTCACAGGCATAGACGCCGAAGGTCCAGAGAAACCAGCACTGGCAATGGATCCAAAGGTACCAAAGCTCAAATGCGAGCAGTCTGCAGACTGGACTTGCAAATGGTCAGGAATTACCACAGAAGGGCCCTCTCTTTCAGGTGGAAGCGCAACATCCTCCTTTTTCAAATTTAACTGTTGCAAGTTTGCAGTCACAGAGGACACCGACGCACTAGCATTTTCTGCTGCAAAATGGATGGAAAATGAGGGATGAGAACAAGAGTTCAACATCAACAGATGATTATACATTTACAGTTTCTGGATGATTTGTAATTGTATTACTATTCATAAGTGGTATTGAACACATAATTTCTGTTCCGATATTTGCTAGGCCAAAATACTTCATGATAATACCAAGAACTTGCATTCAATAGGAAATCTAGTTCGACACTAAACAGAAGACTTTATCCTGAAGGAAACTTCACCAGAGGTTGGATAAGGGATCTAGCATAATCAAGTATCTTTAATCACCCTACATTCGTTTTATCTGAAATATACATGATCAATAAAAATGAAAAAGAAATGGAACTCACCAGTGAAAAAGCCAGAGATTTCACTAGTTCAACCAGTCATTGATTGACAAAGGTTAAAAAAAAAACTTCCAAACAGATGCAGGTATGTCTTAGAAATTAATTAAAACACAGATCCAAAAATGGTGAGCAGAACTTGAAGAACAGGCGTTAGGAATAGAGAGTACAAACCTCCATGACGATCAAATGCATGACCTTGAGGTTGGAAGGAGCCTCTGTTTCGGTACAAATCATTCTCAAACAAAGACTCACCTTCAGCATTATCCTCCAGCAACTTCCTACCAGATACAGAAGTATCTCCAACATGGTTTGTATCATGATCTTCAATAGTTCCTTCTTCAGCAGCCTGACTCTCATCTAAACCAGAGACTCTATTTACTGTATCAAAAGGAACAGTGGACGATTCTGGAAGCATCTCAGTCACTACGTGTGGTTTGGATATAGAGGAAGCAGGAGCTGATGGTGGCTCAATTGAAGGCCATTCATCATCAACAGAAACATGCTGGCCAGATGCTCTGGTGTCAAGGTGCCCCTCTGAAACTTTTGAAATATGATCTTCAGAGGATTGCAAGCTTTGATATGGAGCAGATGGCCCCTGAAAGTGGTGGTGATTAACATTGTGAGTTGTACTTGGGGCGCTTGGCGCTTTGCTTTGAGGCTTACCCATCTTCACAATGTCAGCCATGGACACTTGACCAGGAACTCCCCCCCAAGCAGATTGATATCCAGAAGCTTGTGAGGCAGAGGATACATTATCAGGCAAGACCATAGGTGGCACTTTGACTTCATTGGCAGCAGCATCACTGCAATTTTTTTGTCAGAAAAGAAAATGCAAGTAAACAATAAGCATGAGCAATATCTTTGCATTGAAACCAACCATGTGCCATATGCCTTGGCAAACTAAACAAACAAAAATAGTAAACCTTTGTACATGACCAAGACTTTCTGCAGAAGCAAATTCAACAGTGTAACCGTTTCCAGAAATGATGAATATAATACGACACACTAATTTTTACCCACACAAGAACCAAAAGGAAGCAACAGGGGACCAAATAAAAGTGAGCCCATGATGTTTCAAATGACATGAGTTACTGCAAATCTCACGCCATGTTTGAGCATAAAACCAGCGAAAACCATCAACAAAGACACTTTTCGTCCATTGCAAACATCTGAGAAACCAACCTGTAAAGTGGGGCCTTCCTGCTGGCATTATTTCCAGCTACTCCAGAAGATGGTAGTGAACTAGAACTATAAACAGATCCATTTTCCTTCTTGTACGAAGGTCTACCGTGCGATGCAGATTCTGTGCCAGGGGAAAAAAATCAGCACAAGTTAACACATGCTTTGCATCAAATGGTACCTCAACTAAGCATGAAATGAACAGTTCCGAACAAAATGGACATACCAGAAGTAGCATGCTGGGTGCTACCACCACGGGGAGCGTATCGATCCGCCCCAGACCTCCCACGGTTTGAAGTAACACCACTGCCACGAGACCTAGATTCAGGAGCCTCTTTATTCTGCAGTATGTATCAGAAGTTTATAGGGATTAGTTGATGCTAGCCCTAAAATTAGCAGTGGAAGAGAACATAAACCACCACACCATCATGTAAAGATGGAAAGAACAAGACCAACAATATGCATGCACTGCTAAATTGCAAACATGCCCATAATTTCTGCAGTAAAAACTGACTGTTATTAGTTTCTGGATACAAAGAAAGAAGACGGTGATCTATTTAATCATATCTGATTGAGGTGTCAAGACTGTAAGCCCTTCCCTTCGCTAGAGATCTTTGGAAAAAGAATCATGTGATTCAGTATCCATAATAGGAAAAAGGGAGTGTTATAAGTAATATAGCGACAAGCGACAGGCAACTCCTTTGTAAGAAGCACAAGAATGCAAATTAGTGCAATTACATACCTCCTTTTTCTTTTCTCTTTTGCTCTTGACCTCGTGAAAAGGATCTGTTGAGAGGGAAAATATGAGAAAACTGCCCCAAATGCTTAGGTATGGCATAAAAAATAAACACAACCCACAACAAATGCGTAATATTTTTAGGAACAACCAGACGCGTGATTTTGGTCATATAACACAAGGGACAGTTCTATAACACAGTAACTGACAATTTAGAACGAATACTTATCAGCATCTATATAAAGGGCCACTTTATATAAATATAAATACAACTTCCACGAAAAACCGGGAACAATTGATTAAGACACATAAACCCTAACCATCCACTATAAACAACCTACATCCCTTCCAGCAATGGTACCAAACATAATAAGTCCAATAAATGTAACTATAAAATACGGAAAAAGAGATAGACAACTATAGCATTTATCCTACCTCAAAACTGTAATATCCTATCACAGAGCACAAACCCTAAACCCTAAATTTCAATCAACAGTAAAAAAAGGAGGTGAACCCACAACTAAAATACAAGCAAAAACAACAATCTTCAAAAAATATTTCTGGTACCACTGATTTCTTTGACACATCATATAAATTTCCAAACCTTTTTCCTAGTATCAGCTCGGAATACTTAAAACTACATAAATTTCAATCCATTCGTCTTTCTTTTGAAAATAGAACACAACCACAAGAAACATTCAAATCCTGGACAATATCTTTGGTACAAAATAACAAAATTAAAAACCCACTCCACTCAAGCTCTAAGCTCACACAGATTAGGAAAACAAAAAAGGAAAAACCTTTAAAAAGAAAGGATATTTGAGGAAAATAAAGGGAGAGTCTTTCTAGGGTTAAAAAAGAGGACAAAAAACAAAACCTTGGGAGAGGAGTCTATTAACAGCTTCATTAGGGTCCATATTACACTCTTTGAGCATAGCATAGATCTCGGGTTCAGGGCAGTTGACAATTTCTTTTAAACTCTGAACTACTTTCCGAGCACCGGCCGGAATCGACTGTAACCCTACCCCGGACCCAGTCGCCGCCGCAGCCGACCCATTATTATTAGTCTTGCTGCTTCCTCCTCTGCCGCTCCCCATAATCCCTTCCCCTAAATTCAGATCTGTGGCGAAGTTAACGCCGGTGAGAAAAACCCCCGCTTTTTGCCTTTTATTATTCTCTTTTTTCTTTCCCCTTTCACTCCGTCGCCGTCTCTGTGCCTGGGTTCTCTACTCTGCTGATAATAATATATATAGGACGATGATAATAATAATAATAAAACTATGCTACTAATAACTAATAATAAAAAGAGAGTTAAAAAGTGAATAGGAGGCCTGGTTATTTATACAACATAGATTAGTGTGGGCTTTTTAAAAAGAAAAAGGAAAAAAAAAATTGATCAACAGAAATTATTAGAAATTTCCAATTACTTTTCATTATTTAACTGCCTCAGGAAGAGCGCCTTTTCTATTTCCAAAAACCCTCGTCTCCGTTTCCTTTTTGTATTATGTTACCGGCTTACCGCCTTCTATTTTCAATTTTTTTTTTTTTTTACTAGTACATAGGTATATGTTATTGCTTCTTCATTTCCGAAAAATAGCTCAAATTGTACAATTTTTAATGAAATTTATAAATTAGAATATGAATTATTTTTATGAAACATAAAATGTACATAATAATTGTTATAGTACCGATATAATATAGCTTCCGATCGAATAAATCTATTTTTCATGAGTAAAACTCCTTTAAAAATATGATATTTTCTGTTTATCTATGTTTTAAGGTTTCTTTGAGTACTATATACATCTATTAAAATGTATTTTTTCCAACCAACTTAAAAGAAAAAAAAATTGTTTGTATAAAATATAAAGCTTTTATTTTTAATATGTGTTTGCGATCACTTAACCAAAAAAAAAATATTTGTTCAATTATAAAAGTGATGTTATGGATCATCACCGTGGATATTAGAGTATAATCAAAGTCGAACCATTACTTGTTAGGCCAAAATTATAAGCTCGATAAATGTAACATTGATCAGTGATGGTGGCTATAAAAAAAGACGCAACAAAACGTTTAGTAATAAAAATAAGAAAAAAATAGAGGAAAAATTCATATTGAAACATGTTTCCCAAAACATTCCATCAAAGCACAAACATGATTGTTTACTCTCTCTTTTTTTCTTTTTTTTTAAAAAAAAAAACTCTCTGATGAAAATATAAATTTTCTATTTGTCTCTAAGAAAAATAAATTAGAAGTGTTCAATTTTCACTCTTTCATGTGTCAAATTGTCATTTCCTCTGGAAATTTTGTATTCGACGTATACAACTTCAGTTATATATATACATGTTTTGAAAAAATATATATAAATTTGCCGATGATAGAGTTGAAACTTGAAACTTTAACCCCTTGTTTAATCTAGTATGCATATCTGTCTTCATTTTCATGTTTTTGAGTTTTGATGACGAATGAAGATTAAGGCCCTGTTTGATAAATCAATTAAGCACTTAAACTTATTAATTAAGTACTTAATTGATTAGCACTGTTTGATAAAACATAATCGTAACAACTTAATTGCTTAAGAACTTAATTTATTAAGGACTTAAATTTTAAGTGTGTTTGATAACTCAAAGTAGGATGTCTTAATAAATTAAGTAGGTCTGAAATGCTAGTACAAATATGAGCATAAAAATAAGTGATAAGCCTATCACTTATGTCTGAACTGAATTCTTGAAACGATTTTTTTCTATTTATTTATTTTTATGTTTATACTTTTGATATTTTATCTTGAAATATTTTTATTAATCATGATGCCTAGTTCTAAATTAAAATTTATGTAAATTATTTTTTATTTAATAAATATTTATTTTTATATAAAAATTAAAATCCATTAAATTCCATGATCAATATATCTTTACCATAAATATGAATTTTTTTTGACAATGATAAAATATGACATTATTATTAACTGAAAAAATAATAACATAATAAAATTTAAATATTTTTATCACATTATTTAATAATAATCTTATTATTTTTGTTATCATAATTTCATATACATCAATTATTTTTTTAAGATAAAATTATAAGTCGAGATATTTTAAATTTCAGTATTCAGACTTCAGATTTCAGACATTTTATTCAGTGTTTAGATTTTGGTTTTATCAAACACAACAAACTTAATCAATTAAGTACTTATGATTCAGTTTTCAGATTTCAGACTTCAGACCCAAATTAAGTTTTACCAAACGGATCATAAATTTGGACGGTTTTATTTCGAACACTGTCTCAATCCTTAGTTTACATTGAAATTTGTTTTGTTATATTTCAAAAACATGCTTTTTACTCATCACCTTAAAAAACAAGGACATACTTTCTCATATTCAATTAATTTTTTATAATTTACAAAAAGTGTTTTCTTATATTGTTAAAAATATGCTTTTTACTCCTCACTTTCCAAAAAATAAAAAATAAAAAAATGCCACAGTTTCTCACTTTCTCCTCTTCCCTTGTTTTTTTAGAGCTCATTTTTTTCGTTATATTTGTATAATTTGTTTTCGCAATTGATATCATTAATAAATAATAAAACCCTCATTTTTAAACTCTAAGTCCACTTTTTACTTGGAATGATATAAAATTCTAAATCCACTTTCTACCTCAATGCATAATTTTTAAAATTTTTCCAAATTATTCTTATTTAAAAATACTCTGGGTGATTGATCTAATTAATTTTAAATAAAATAAATTCTTCATATTTATGAAAGATTTACTACTACATTGTATTTTGAAAAGAACATAGTAATCCTCATTCTTAAATTATTGTTCAATTTAGATTTTTTATTTTTAATTTAAATTATTAAAAATTAAATTCCAAAGCACATAATAATTTTGGAACAGAGGGAGACAGATTTTTTTTTTTTTTTTTGAGAAACTAGAGACAGAGTCCACTGAAATGACAAAAGCCTCATAATCTCTGTTTGAACTTCTTCACTTCTCTTATCCGAGAAGAAGAAGAATAAGAAGATGATGATGAAACCTTTCCTTCTCTCGAATTTATCCTCTCCGCCACCACTCATCAATTCCCACCGCCTTCAATGTAAATCCCCTCCTCCGCTCTCCGCCGATCATGTCGGAGCCCTAACTCGAATTCTCCGAAATGGAGTTTCCATCGTTCTCTCGGTTGGAATTCTATTATCTTCACCAACGCCCTGTTTGTCAATTGCAATTGACTCGTCGCCGTCAGTTCGATCATCGCCTCCTGTTTATTTGACTGAGAAGGACGCCAATTGTCGTGAAGACGAAGCACAGGGCGAGAGGACCGTGGATAATAGTGATACACCTCAAATGGTGACTAATGAAGGCTTAGTGGAAGAAGCGTGGGAGATTGTGTATGAGAGCTTTCTTGATACCAGTCAACGACACCGTTGGTCTCCTGAATCTTGGCTTGTGAGTCACCTTGTAAACATTGTTATTTATGTACACGTGAATGAATGATTTTGTTGTTCTGACTTACTTCAGCTTATGTGGAGCAACTTGTTGAAAACGCATAGGTTTTAGCTCTGCCTAATTGATGGTAAATTTGCATTCTCTTATACTTTCAGCAAAAGAAGGAAAATGTTTTGGGCACATCAATTAAGAGTAGGTCAAAAGCTCATGATATTATTCGGCGGATGCTGGCAAGTTTGGGTGACCACTACACTAGATTTCTCACTCCAGCGGAGGTGATTTCCGTTAGTTACTTTTAGTTTCTCTGCCTTGTTTCATAAATGTACAGTACTTTAAAAGTTCAAATGGATATTACATTAAGTTTAGGGCTCTAAATAATGGTGGGGCTATAATTTTTTTGTTAGCTTTCATGGTAATTGGTGTTCAATACTTCCCTCTTCCCTGCTTTTATTTATTTTTTTTATTGGTAACTTTGTAGAAATAGAGTAAAAACTTTCTGAGTTGGGAAAGGTTAAATGAGTTTTATGGTGATAAATGTGACATTAATATTTATTTTTATTGGTTGCTTATGCTGTGTCTCGATTTCCCCCCTTTCTTTTTTACTAACATAGTCTTCAGTTTTATTTTCTTCTCTTTGATTTCATGGACGTGTTAATTTCATCATTGATGAAAGTTTTCCAAGATGGCGAGATATGATATGACTGGGATTGGAATTAATCTGAGGGAAATTCCAGATGACACTGGAGGTGTGAAACTGAAGGTTCTGGGGATCCTTCTTGATGGCCCTGCTCATAGTGCTGGTGTGAGGCAGGTATGCTTTTCGTTAGAACTCACTCGGTGCACATTCTTTATACTGTATAGTGTGTACACAAGATTTCTTGACACCATATTGAAATGGATCTCCATTTTATGGCCTCGGGAATTTGCATCATTTTTTATTTTTATGGTGCATATTTGTCCAGATTCCATTTTTAAAATAAAAGTTTACGGGACACTTCGGGTATTGTTGATAGAAATACAGAGTGATTCTTAAAAGAGTGAAGAAAACCAAGATTAAATTTGTATCATCAAGCTACCAGATCATGATAAAAAGCTTTAAGGGATAGTTTCAGATTTTAGAGAGCCTTTTTTAAGGTGACTCTTGGTTGTGGCTTATTATCTGTTAGGATGACTGCTCTCACCGGCTCTGATCAAGCTTTTGCAAGATTCAATCATCTGACTTGCCAGGCCCAGCTAGCCCCACTCTCTAACACGACCTTAAATTTTCATCATGAAATTGTAGTTATTGAGAGATACTAAAAAATACAGAGAGACTTATTCTCCTGTATGGTATATGTGGATACAGGGAGATGAGTTGCTGACAGTTAATGGGAAAGATGTTAAGGGAAAATCTGCCTTTGAAGCATCATCCTTACTACAAGGCCCCAGTGAAACATTTGTAAACATCACGGTAAGCTGCACGAATGAAGTACAGAAATGTTACCGCAGGTGTTTTGGTACACATGATTTGCTGACAAGTTGGTCCATGCTAGGTTAAGCATGGAAATTGTGGACCTGTGGAAGCCATTGAAGTCCAGAGGCAATCAGTTGCAAAAACTCCTGTTTTTTATCGATTGGAGCAGATTGAAAATGGTGATTCTGTTGGCTACGTACGTCTGAAAGAGTTTAATGCGCTGGCTAGAAAAGATTTGGTTACAGGTGTGTTACTGGATTTTTGTGATTTTTCTCATAATGTTTTATTTTTATTTTTATGCTAGAGATTAATTTAAAGAATAGCTCATATACTTATATGGTTCATTGGGAAAGTGTCATAAAAGCATCAAAACTGTCATAAACATCATTCTCCAAGTTCTATTTGTAGGTACTAGTGTATACTGGTTCTCGGCACCATTAGTTCAGAAAACAAACAATTGATAGGAAGCAAAATAATGAAAGGCCATGATATTAGATGTGAATTATGAGTTGGAAAAGGCATAAAGCTTTCAATTATAACCCAAAAATGAAAAATTTTGATTTCCATCTGATGTAGCACAAGCATGTGCAAGTAAAACTATTCTTAGGTATTTCATACTCGGGGATGTTCGATAGTTCTTTTTTTTTTTTTTTTTCTCTCTTTATATATCAATCTTTTTTTGGGTTTACAGTGAAGGCTTTATTTATCCTTTTGATGGATACTTCTGCAGCAATTAAGCGTCTTGAGGACATGGGTGCTACCTATTTTGTTCTTGATCTTAGAGAAAACCTCGGAGGATTGGTGCAGGTTAGCTGTCACTTTGTTCTACTCATCAACTACAACACTTTGTTCTACTCATCAGGGAAAACATAGCTGCCATGAAATTTTGGTACTAGATGTTTTATTGCTAAAGTTTCTTGCCTTGACAGTTTTCTTTGGTTTGGAACTAGACATTAATGTTTCTCAGTGTAATTGAAGAAAACTATTTTTTTTACGAAGTAGGAGAATCACAACATTGAGCCTTCCAATTTTGAGCAATACCAATAAAGACAGATTTGGAAGAACTTGTCAAGATAAAAGATCAACATCTTAAGATTCCTGGTGATAAAGAATATAAAGATTCATGTGAAGTACAGTAGTAAATGGAATAAAATTTAATGAAATCAAATAGACTTGAGAAAAGGGCAGATCAACTTGAACAAAATAAACACAGAGTAGGAAAATAGCAATGATTGTCTTTGTTTCCTTCTCATATCAATTCCAATTACCTCTATGGACTAGTTAGTAGAAGTTTTATCTCCTTGGCTGAGTGTTTTGGCTGTCGGGATGGCATTTGACCAGAGTACGAGTCAATTGCTGCAACTGAAGCATTAAAAGTATGATCACCTACTTGATTTGTGATATCTTATTTTTTGCACTCTACTAATACAACCCTTGTATTGCTTTTGGAATCTTTTTTCCTATAGTAATAGTTTTACTTTTGTTTTTCAGGCTGGTATTGAAATTGCTAAATTGTTTCTAAATAAAGGCGAGACGGTATGTTAATCTACTCCTGAAATGTATCCGCATTTCTTCTTATATCTTTGCAGATTTGGTCTGGTTACTTAAAGATGAGGAATTTTTTAAATCAAAATCAAAATTGCATGGGTTGTTTCTTATTCAGCTACAATCCCTCTTTTTTTTGTTCTTTCTGTTTCTTGCTTTCAAATGTGGTTCAAGATATGTTTTGGAATCCTTTTGAAGAACATGTTTGGACAGAATTTTAACGTTCCTTACCCACTGCCGCCGTTGGATAGCAGCAACGTGGCCTCTGGACTGCCAGCTGGATTCTAGATAAGTCGCTGGAATTTGGCCAGAGTCAGTTGGTGTTGGTTGAAGGTGGTTGTGATTCAAACATGTTTTGGGTGTAAAACCCAAAACGTGTTTCAAGATAATAAAACTAACATGTCTTTGGAGTGTCCAAATATGTATAGTCCGAAAACATCTTTTGGAGCAACAGTCCAAACAGGCCTTTAATCTTGTAACCCAGATGAGACCTTAATGTTTCCTTACTTGTGTTTTTGTCTCCTATATTATGTTACCCAACTCCTCATATATTTGAAAGCATCCTTGCGCACATGCATGCATACACACACATAGATATATGAAACAATGAATGAGGGAGCAAGTAGTTATTATCTACATTAGCCCTCAGTATGCATCTCAGCATCTGTTCCACCTTTCCTGAAATTTCTACCTACAGGTGACTTATACAGTTGGTCGGGATCCACAGTATGTCCGGAATATTGTAGCAGAAGTTCCACCTCTGGTCACAGCTCCTGTTATTGTAAGGATTTTCTTCTGAGTAGTTCTATTTTCATGTATACTGTGCTCTTTGATAAAGTTAGCAACAGCCATGTGCTTCACATGCTTCTCTTAAGCAAACATAGAGCCAAAACCGGGCATGGTTTGTGGTTGGGTAAAAAGGCAATAACATATATAAATTCTTTGTTTTGTTAATAGCATTTTTTAAAATATAATTTTACTTATCAAGTTATCTTCAAGTTGGCATTGAAACTAATACCAATTTATTTTCCTTTTGTTCTCCTTGCAGGTTTTGGTGAATAAAAACACTGCTAGTGCAAGTGAGATTGTAAGTTGTTTCATCTATAAGGTTTTTCTGAATGTGCTTCAAAGATATCATGACCCATAACTATGGTCTCTTATTCCAGGTGGCCACGGCAGTTCATGATAATTGCAGAGCTGTTCTTGTTGGGGAGAGGACATATGGGAAGGTAGTAAATGTTTAAGGGTTTCCCACTGTGATTCCTCCTTTTCTTTTAAACTCCCCCTGCGTATTAAAAAAAACAAATATTTGATTCATCTGACTTCTTTCCATCATCTTGACTTGGACCGGATGGCAAGTGTTCTGGCATGTGGCATCATATATATGCCTTTTATCATATTGTTGGAACAAATAGAGGAGTGCATCATCTGTAAGGCGTGATTGTACTGCAATTGAAGGAAACTTTTGCTTGACAGCTGCAGTACTACCAATGCTTTACGGATCCAGTGTTGGTGAACTGCAATTGAAGGAAACTTTTGCTTGACAGCTGCAGTACTACCAATGCTTTACGGATCCAGTGTTGGTGAACTAACTGACACTATGAACTGAAAATTGAGATTGTTGTGATAGGTACATAGACTATGTGAAGTAGAAAGAAAGTGGGCATTAGACTTCGGAGAACTTGTATAGAGATCTTTAAATGCACCAATATGGGTCGTATATAATACAGAATTAGTAATTTAAACGGAAAATGGAGAGAAGAAAGTCTCAAAAAGACTGGGAAAAAATCTAGTGGAAAAAGGCACGATTCTTTTAAGTTTAAATGAAATATATGTTATGTAGGACAAATTAGCAAGCTGTGATCCATATAATTGACTCATAGGGTAAGAAAGATGCTTGAGTGTTGTCTTTGTTGTAATATGCCATGTTCTTTATGCAACTCATGGTGAGTCTGACTTCACTTGATCATTTTTGGATTAATCAGAACGACTGTGATGTTTGTGTCCTGGATTGTTTTCGTCAGCAGCTGTTTCATTAGGACAGTCATCTCAGTTTAAATTTGTGAATTTGGTGCTTGATGCACCTTTTTGAATAGGCAGGAAAAACATGTTCTTCTATTGTTTGCTTTCCATGACATTTGCCACAAATTAGGTAGTGATGTTAGCTATCCTTCACAAAATAAATCATGTTTGCAAAATATTGGGTTTAACAATGATGGTGTACGTGGGGCTTAAATAATTGAATTAAGTATTTTGCTTATAATTCATTGCTTATCAGTTAGATTTTCTTATCGTGATTTGATATTTCTTTATCTCTTGTACATTTCTACAAAAACATCTCAAATCTCAAACAACTGAGACGCCAAAAGATGATTTAGTTTTACATGAAAGTGTTACTTCCTTGGATGAAGAAAAGTTTCAAAATCCACCTCCAAGCCACGTTTGCCAAAATAACTTTCCATTTTGATGTTATTACAGGGCCTGATTCAATCTGTATTTGAGCTACATGATGGATCTGGTGTGGTAGTCACTGTCGGGAAGTATGTTACTCCAAACCATGTGGACATAAATGGTAATGGGGTGGAACCTGATTTTCAGAGCATTCCTGGTAACATAGCCTCTCTTGTCTGCATTACAAGAATCCTGTACTTTAGAAAAAATCTTCATTTTACTTTTCTTTTTGTAGCTTGGTCTGAGGTCATGAAACATTTGTCAAAATGCCATAAACCACAAGAGGGGTGAATTGAAGATTAGAACCCCATGGATCACTCTCTATGATTTTCACTTGGGTTGAAACTTTTCTTTAAGGTAATTTCATATTCAGTTTTTGTTTTGTTGGAGGTGACTGATAAATAGTATAATTGTGGCATGAAGTCCCTTTTGATTTTCTGTCCGTTCTTTTGTGCAGTCCTGAATTGAGCATTGCGCAGAATTGAATGCATATTAAACTCCTAAGGCACCACTTATAAAAGTGGAAATGTCTGCTAGCCCTAGGCATACCATACAAGGGATGCAACATTTCAGGGATGCATCATAGAAGCCATCTTCCTTGGCGGGAAGGATATCCAATCATCTTTTTGTGAAGACTTTTGATGAACATGTAGTACATATCTCATCAGATATAGAATAGGAAGCCACAGGAACCCTGGATGCATGGTGTTTTGTGAAGTGTGTTCAGAGGGCAGCAGTGGAAACGTAAGTTTCTCTGGCATTAAGTCGCAACTAGAATTATGCTGCCTTGGTAGATTGAGTTGAGCTAATTTATGATGTGAATCGCTCTACTCTCAGTAGAGCTTCTATATATTCCATGAAGGGACATATTCCCGTTGAGGAGGAGCTATGAATGATTTTGTGAAGGTAGATTGGAATAATCAAGGCAAGTGATAGAAGTTTCACTGCCCTGTGAGATGAAACTCCAAATGCTCATGTACATATCGACAATATTATTTGAGCCATTGAACTAACTTGTAAAGAAAACATTTGTCATTTTCCATGGTTGTTGAAAAATCAGCAAGAACTGGACTGTGCTTCTTGCTAGATATTGATCTCTTTCTTTTTGCTTTTCTTTTAACTAATTCTCCCTTTTTTTTTTTCCCAGGAAAATGTAATGCATTTAAAATTTTCAAGTAGGATCTTCCGTTGCATTTTTATATATGCTGATGCTGAACATCATTGTTGTTTCTGGATAAATTGTGAATTGCTAGTTTCAAGCATCCAAACTGTTACCATTGCAATTCAAATGATGTTTCCTTGGTCTCATTTAAATAATCTACTGTTATAATGTTTTAGTTCAACACAGGAAAACTTTTAAAATGAGACAACACTATATTGATTAAACCCCCAAAGCCAAAAGCAATAGTTAGTAAGTCCAGTTTAGCAACCAGCTTTGTTAAAAAGAAAAGGAAAGTTGTTCGATACGTTGTTGCTTTGGACAAGCATGCAATCTGGCACAATTTCTTAAGAGTTTGATAGATCCAATGTTGCTAAGGCCAGGAGGAAAACAAAAGAAACCTTTTAGCATCCCATGAGAATCATCTGATTTGGAATTCTGCTTGGAATAAAATCTCTCTCTGTGTCCATCTTTACCTTTTGTTCAAGTCCTATGAAACATTTTCAATTAAAAAGTCCCTAGTGAAACAGTAGAAAGCTAATCAGAAAAGAGGAAAAAGTAAAAGGCTACTAACAGATGCTAAACATGGCTACCTTTGTGAGCTCATCTGCAAGAGTTACCAACTGGAAAATTTAGCCTTCAAATGTCGCAAAGGATCGTTTCAAATTTTTCGGACTGAGTTTACCTGATGTAGACTTACAGTAGAAAGCTTTGCTCTTCCATGACGTTTGTGTCATAAGTTCATAGACAATTGAAAGAAATACCTACCTGTGCACCAAAAAAAAAACCACTGCGGCGAAGCTTTGCTCACAATATGAAACCATGATTTTAGAATCCATATGTCACTTTCAAGTTCACAATGTCAAGTCTTACTACCGTGAGACCCAAACAAACCAAACTTCAACTATCCAATCTAGGTTATTCTATTTTACAAGTTCCAGACATAAGCATCATAAGTTGATGTTGTTTCTTTTACAAAAAAAAAAAAAAAACAGTTGATGTTGGAAAAGGTTGATTCTTTTCACCTTTTCATTCTTCAATTCTTTGCAGCACCTTTTTTTTTTCCTATTTGGGTACCCCTCCTTGCTTGCAGTTTTTAACTACCACTTCCTCATCTCCTAAGTTTTCTAATATTCTCCCAAACACCACTTCCCATTTGCCTCCTCAATGCAAGAAATCTATGATTCTTTGTTCTTTTATTTATATGCTATATGCAGAAAGATTATAGCTTCTTCTTCACAAACACCAACAACTACCCCTCTCCATAGCTCTACAAATCTCGTGTGTTTGTATCAATATTGTTACCAACTCCAAAGAGAAGTTCACAACCACCATGTCAAGAGGCTCCAGAAGAAATACAATGGATGCTGGAGTTATTCGAATCTCACTGTGCATCCTCCTTTGCATATTCATTTCAGGTAAGTTTTGTTGATGAATATGGAGGATATCCATTGATGGTTATCAGTATGGTTATGCTTAATATACAGCTTCCTAAACCTGAACAATGTGACCCTATCTAGAATGCTCCTCCTCATGAGTTCTTTCTCTGTGTGTGTGTGTGTGTGTGTGTGTGTGGCGCAAAAATCTTCCCTTACAAATTCATCTGCATGGCAAAGATTGTACAAAAATTTCACTTTGATGATGGAAATGATCATGGTTTATGACTGTCCACGTTCATTTATCAGTTTCTGGTATTCGAGAATTTTTCATTTTAGACCCAGAGAATACTGGAAGAAACAGAAAACAGGGGATCCAGCAGGATTGCTCTACAAGCCCCTCAATTTGAGATGTTTGCATGGAATCCAAGCAACCTTGCATTGCACTCTTTATTTGAGGATCAATAACTAAAGCCAAGAGAATAACTTGTTCTTGTCATTTTGCTTCCAGATCCAAGCACTGCAGCTACACCTCCAATTGAGAGAATCCATCGAAGTCAGAAACTGACAAATGAAGAAACTGATGACTTCTTTTCATCTCCTATTTATGATACTGAGCTAGATACAGCTCCAGGAACCATTCCCATTGTCAATCCAACCACTCCGACTACAACTACCCCGATTATAGGCAGCCCTCCCCCGCCGCCTATGTTTGGCGGACCGATGACAAATCCCACCCCAGTCACAAATCCTCCAGCAACATCAGGTGGTGGTGGAGGTGGAGGATCTTGGTGTGTAGCCAACCCCAACGCCTCACCTGCTTCGCTTCAGGTTGCTTTAGACTATGCTTGTGGCTATGGTGGTGCAGATTGTTCTGCCATCCAACCAGGTTCCAGTTGCTATGATCCAAACACAGTCAAGGATCATGCCTCTTATGCTTTCAATGACTACTACCAGAAGAACCCTGTTCCAACAAGCTGTGTTTTTGGAGGAGCAGCTCAGCTTACCTCTACTGACCCAAGTAAGTTCAAAATATGTTAATGGTTTTTAAGAGCGATAAGTTTTTTCGAACAGTGGTTACCTGATTCATATAAGTTGAATCAATCAAGAAAAACTCCTCTTCTGTCAGCTCAGCTTCACTAGTATTCTGGTGCAACTTAATACTAGTCTCCCACATTCATGCAAAACTAAAATCCAGAAAACTGAGGTTAATTATGAAAGAAATTTGTTGGTATTGCTACAGGTTACGGGAACTGCCACTTTGCATCTTCTAACAGAAACCCAATGACACCAACAACGACAACACCAATGACACCAAGTCCAACCATTCCTGTTACAACACCCAGGTAAGCTTCTCTTCCTCAACTGAATTTCTAAATGTTAACAGTAAGCAAAAAGAACCCTAAAAGAGATTTGCATTTACAGCACAACTACGCCTATGAATCCCTACAGCCCTGGAGGACCAACAGGTTATGGATCAGAACCGACGGATTATGGTTCAGAACCAACAGGCACTCCCAGCTCTGCAGAGACAATGTCATACAACTTACAATGGCTCTTGGTTATGACCTGCCTCACTTTATGGGTTTTCACAGCAAATTACTTCTAAACAAAGATCAGATGGATTCAGTTATCGTCCAACATTCAGATAGTCACCTGACACTTGTGAGTCATTTTGGGGGCGGGTGGAGGCAGAGGGAAGTATGAAGAGATTGGGCATCTCAGCTTGTCAAATTAGGTCATTGGTCACTTGAATTTATGTCTGTCCTTTTAGTCCAAATAGCAACCTGGCAGATAGTGACGAGAGCACCTAGATATTTCTTTACACTTTACAAAGACAATTTCAGCAGTTAATAAAAATTTACCGACAAGATATAGTTTTAGCATTTAGCAGTGAAGAAATATGTACAATATCAAGGAACTGATGCAGTATTCAGATTAGAAATAATTCCTTTATTTCCTCAAAAGTACTTATGGAACTGCTAGGGATGCATCTGATTAAATACATTAAATATTGAACAGAATATTTAAAGAGATTTAGCATCTTGAAAATTGTAAGCATCTGCACAACTAGCTAGGAACCACAATTTAACAAGCTTGATCATTAACACTTGGCCCCAAGACACTCAACTCATCAAAGGGGTCCAGATGAGCAATAAGTTTCTTGCTCTAAAAAAAGTAAACCCCTTCATCACTCTAACACACATTTTGTTTGTAAAGTACTACCTGATAGGCGCAGACTCTCCTTTGCCAAGAGACAGTACGAGGACATCTATATACAGTTACATTAGCTACAATGTGTAAAAGATAAAATGATGACAATATCTTTGCATCGTTTTGAGAGGATCAAGTTTATACCTGTCACCAAATATCATAGAGTTCCTACTACAGAGACACAAACAGTTCCCATTTGGATACTATGAACAGAACCATTGTTTGCACTACTAGTTGATTATACATCGGCCAATTGTCCAGTAAATGAGGTAAGCATTCTAGATACAGTACTTAGAACAAACTCAACTAAAGTCAGATTAAGAACAAGCATGGCACAGCGACGATGCAAATGATAGCTATGGAGGCAATAACGGAAACTTGGTTGAATGCATTACGGAGACTGCCTGCTCGTGAGAAATGCTGGAAAGCCAGATAAGCTGCGATTATCAGAGAGATAATGACTCCTTCCTGTTTTCCCCTGCAGGAAGCAATCACAAGAACCATAATATTCCAGAGAAGTTAATTTCTTGACAGGAAAACCAACTCTATATTCCCTTGAGGTTTAATTTGACTTACCTAAGGTTCATAACTTGATAAGGTGCAACGATTACCAAAAGTAGTGCCACAAAAGGCAACTCAAGTTCCCCTGCAGAGAAAAAAATAAAAAAGGTGGAGTTGATTTACTGCATTGTATCACTTGATTTAATATAAAGTCAACCAAGGTCATAACGTTTACATCAAATGCTGCATTCAATATCAACAAATCTATCCATGGGATCCTATTTTTCAATCACTTGGAATACTTTTCCCAGTCAGCAGACTATTTGGTTGTTGTAGAGTCGTTTATCACATCAGATCTAAATTAGGATCAGGTGGAGTTTAACCCACTCAAAATGTTGCACAAGTTGGGGAAAAAAAAAAAGGAGCAAAGCTAAAACCACAATCAACTAACGCAAGCTACTGTTTTTTAGATCCTAGTCAAACCATGATGCAATACTGCAATATGCAGTATTGAGATTGCCAAATTTAAGCGTCTCCTTATTTTCTCACTTGCTTCTCCCAAGCGGAAAAAGGACCGGGAGAATATGCTTATTTCAAATTTTTTAAAAAGAAAGAATATGGCGGGCTTTAATACACCTCAATCGCAACATTCAAGGAACAAACACTTGGGACTTGGAGTAAAGGAACATTAGCTGAAAAGTATAAGAATATACAGAACAGAAACCATCTGGAAGAATGCCAGAAACTACTAGCAATGGTTTCCTTACCCAAACCATACCCGTAAAACAGATCGGCAATAAATAAGAACAGGACTACTAAGGACCTACCTGGGAAAGGAAAGAACAGCCGGACAATAAGAGCCAGGAACGCTGTCCAAATCCCATACTCTCCCCTGAAAATTAACGTTTCTGATTTTATTGACAGGATATTTAAACAGTGAACCATAAAGAATCCAAATGGAGAAAGGCCACAGCATATTTATCATATCTGCCAAAGAAAATACAAAAGTAGTAGAATGCTTACTTGATCCATGAAACAATGCTGGCCGGGGCTAGTAAAGCAAAGAAAGGAACAAGGAAGGACTTGTGAATAGCAGTACCTCTTGCAAGCATTAAAACCCTATAATAAGAAAAGGTTATTTTTTGCATTAAACAAAACGCCAAACAACAGGTAAAACTGATGGCTGAAGCCATTTCTATCATAAAGTTCAATGTAATACTGCACAGTAAGAGGAAGACTATGAAACTGTTTATGAACTCGGAAGGAGGGAATCAACCTGAACTGTAAGTGGAAGTACCCATAGTTTGGTTATTTTTCTTCTCCACAGAAAATGCTCAACTATTCAGATACATAATAATATTTATATCTAGAGTTCCACATCGAAATTATAACTTTTATGGAGATTATGAAGGTTAAAATTGCAATGGATCTTTATGTTTAAATTGGGTAGCTGACTGGTTATATTATTTTAAGCACCAGGGAATTAATCCATGATCCCCTACTCATTGGGCAAATAAAAGAACACCCTTCAAAATGTCATCAGTAAAATGCACAAGATCCATAAGAGCTGCATCAACCGGTTGCTAATATTCAAAACTCAGAATTCAAACTTTACAAGAGAAAGGAAAGAAGGGAAGTTTACGCAGTCGAAATAGTAGCCACCCATTGGAGATTAGTAGTAGTAAGAGGTGCAGCATAGCAAACAGCATTACATGCATTCCTTTTTCTATTCAGCATCATCCCTTTGCGATTATCTGATACCCTGCACCAACAACCACAAAGCAAAACAATGAACGCATCCAATTCACTGATACGACGAATCAAAATGATAATCCTGCAGGAGACCCAACAAAAGAACTCTCCAATACTGAGGCTTGATTAATGAGACTCAGGCTTAGTCACCGACTGATTTCACAAAATAAACTATGCAAAGAAATAAACTTTAAAAGTAAAGGAAAACCCACAAAGCTCCACCAGAAAAACCCAGAAAAAATCTTACATTTTAAATTATAGGCATCATCACAGGATCACCGAATCCAAAACCTTTAATAAATAACTCAAAGTAAGTAAGTTACACAAAACACACATTACGAAGCAAAATCACCTCAAGAATCCACTCATTTCCCCTCCCCTTAATCGTCACTACTTCAAGCAGACACAACAAAAATAACAAATTCATACGTTGGGGAAAAAAACAAGAGCCCTGACCAACCCAGATATTCCAGCAAACTCTATAGATACCAAAATCGTAGAAGATTATTATTATAATCAATCAAGCATTCAATTACCGTAAAGGGTTCAGAAACCCAAGAGAAGCAGAAGGGAGTAGTGGGTTTTGCGGAGTACACTTGAGTGAAGGAGAAAGTGAGAGGTGGCAGAGCCTGGTCTCGTAAGACTCAGCAGTCTGAAGCTTACTTGGAATTGATAAAGCTGAAGCAGAAACGGCCAGCATTTTTTCCTCCTTGCTTTATTAACTTCCTGCTTGATCGAATTTGGGTTTTGGTTTTTCCTACTAGATTATTGAGAAAGAGTTGAGGAAGAAGATGATGACGAAACCTGGTTGAATGAATCTCAATCAGATCAATAAAGTAGTAGTAGGTCCCAGGGTGAGGCTGACTGATTCACACGTGGCGCCTCGGAGCTAGTGCATTTTGCCATTTGGAGTTCGTGAATGTCACATGATCTTTGCCCAATTTTGTTCCATTTCGTATTAACATTTTACTATTTTCAGCAACTGGGACTTTTTAATTCTTTTTTATTTCTGGCCTCGATTAGTAATGCATTTAAGAGAGCAAAATGTGAACACGGAGGTGGTAACGAAATGGTAATGTGGAAGATAATACTAATAGGCTAAGGCCATAGGCTAACATTAGGCCATTAGATAGGCTAACATTTGGCCATCTAATGCATTTAATAGGCTAACATTAGGCCATCTCCAACCCTGTGCTGGAAGTCACTTTTTGCTGTATTTTAGAGTGAAGAAGCTCTCAAATGGGTACTCTAAAAGGGCCTGTAAAAATCCAGTGCTGGTGGTTATACTCTGAAGAGTGACGCTAAAAAGAAACTCTATCACTGTTCATCTGGAGCCCACCGTCATTATCTTTTTTTTTTTTTTCAATTGTTCAAAGCTGATGATTTTGGCACAACAACTTTTAGCATCTAGAACAATTTTTTTCCTTATTTTTTCAAAATTACCCCTAATCAAAGTTCCCCTAGTCTTCTTCCCTATCATCTGGTTCAAAATTTTCTCTCCTTCCCATCTCTCCTTGCGATTCTCTTTTAGGGTCGAACTATTGAGCGCCCTTATTATTTCATTTGAGCACCCGCGAAAGACCGACACGCCCCTGCAAAATGGAGGTAAATTTTTTTTTCCAAAATAGGGGGGGCGAGGGAGGAACGCGCCAGTCATTAACGGCTGGCGCAGGAGAAACACGCCACCTCTATGCGTGCAATAAACTCGTCTCCCTTTACAGAGAGGCGAGACGGCCTTCGCCAATGGCGAAGGTGGTGGCGCCAGATTTGGCACCACCTTTGTCCGGGTTTAGGGTTTATGCTAATTAGGGTTTATGATATTTAGAGAATGTTTTTCAATTACGTATATTGTTCATAGGTTGTAGTTGTTATATTAAATGAGTTAATATCTTGTTAATAATGTATTTAAATTGTTATATATTTTAATTATGTTAATTATGTAGTATGTTCGTATGAAATAGTTTGTTTTTTGTTAAATGGGTGTTTAGGTAGTATGTTAATGGGTATAGGTGTTAGGGTTTAGGATTTTTGTTAAAATAATGAGTTTTTGTTAATAATGTATTTAATTTGTTATTAGTATATTTTAATTATCTTTAAAGTATAAGATCATTATATCGGATTATATATTTTGTTTTTTGCTCATAGCAAATTATTTGTGGTTTAATATTATTAGAGTTAATTTAAGTTATGATATAATTCGTTTTTAATGTGTGAAAGATAGGTTTGATCAGGGGGATGGAGTCGATTATAGTCCGGCTTTTGCTACAGACAAGACTCTTGCGACGAAGAAGGAAGCTGTTGCATATGCGAAGGGTATTGCGAACATCTACAATATGGAGTTAAGTGTATCTTCGCACAAGGATAATAGTACTATACTCCTTTGTCATAAAGGAAGGCCGTACCAAGGTCAACAGGTGGATGAAAACGTGCGCGCCTGAGTTAATACAAAGACACAGATGACCGGATGCCAGTTTCGCGTTACTATTCACAAGATATATGATAGGTGGGCGATCCGTGTATATCCAGGTCCGTGGGGAATGCACAACCATTCATTGAAAGATCCACCTCGAGTCAGGAGGCCATTGAGTGCAGAAGTAAAAGAGCTTATTAAGGAGTACTCTAAAGCTGGGACTAAGGCAGTCCACATTTTACGGGCGATATGGACACAATTTCCTGATAAAAAGGTTGCCTCCAAACAAGTCTACAACTACAGAAATCATTTGCGTAAGGATGGGTTTCCAATTCTAGATGACCTGGCTGCTATGGACGTCGTGGGAAAGGTGTTAGAGGTCGCAGAACAACACAAATAAATCATCTTCACGGAGTGCGATGAAGAGACACAGAGGTTATCCCACGTGTTTTTCGCACATCCGGATTCTTTGTTGCTGTTGCGGACGTATCCTTGGGTTGTTTGTGTAGATTCCACATACAACACAAACAAATATAAAATGCCTCTTGTGGAGTTTGTTGGAATGACCCCTTGCAATCAGACATTCCTTATAACATATGCTCTTCTGAGTGATGAGACGGGGGACAGCTACCATTAGGCGCTGTGGCAGCTCCGTAACTTGTATGGCGATGATCTGCATCCGAGTGTCAACGTGACTGATCGGGAGCCTGGACTGATGAGGCCTCTTGATGATGTATTTCCATCATTACATCACTTGTTGTGTACGTGGCACGTTTGCAGGGATGTTGAAAAAAATGTGAAAAGAATTTTGAACGGAAATGCCCATGTAGCAAAAAGTTTTGCGTATCATGCCTTCAAAACAGTGATCGAAGCTGCAAATCGGGAAGAATACGGAGAAAAAGTACAGTTTCTGGAGCATAATTGGTCCCAATTTTAGCCCGTTCTAGAGCATGTTAGGAAGATATGGTTAGTGGTGGCGGACAAGTTTGTGCATGCATGGACCAACACTTATTTGCATCTTGGCAACACCACTACTTGTAGAGTGGAGAGCGCACACAAGTTGTTAAAGGAATGGCTCGGCACTGCAAATGCTTCTTTTGAAACGGTGTGGCACAGGATTCACATGTTACTGGAGACACAGCTTACGCAAATAAGGTACTGGATTTTGATCTCTTTTTAGTTAATTTGTGTGTTTAGTTTGTTTAATTAATTTGTTATAATTCCTCCACAGGGAGAAATTGCAAGAATCAAGGCAGAAAATAGGGATGCAACACAACAAGTACCCTTTCTACCAATTAAGATACAATGTTTCACACTACTGCTTGGATCTATTGAACAATGAGTTGGAAAGGGCATAACAACTCGGAGATGATGTGTATTGGGAATGCAATCATTACCTGAAGCAAACTCACTCCCTCCCTTGTGTATGTATACTTAAGCGTATAATGGAGGCCAACGAGATTTTGACTCCAAAATACTTACACCAATTTTGGAGCACACTTGACATCGGTGAGGTTACAGAGAAGGATAGTTCGGATGATGTTCCCCCTCACAGATTGTCGTTCAGGCAGTTAATAGAAGAATTGGACGCTGCTGAGGAGCCAATACAGCGCGAGATCACCAGATTGATGTACAACAAACTTCACCCGGGCCAAGCCGGATCAAATGAACCGCGAGTTGGAAAGAGAGGCAAGGGCAGGCCGAAGAAAAGGGGCATCTAAAAAAAAAAGCAAGACAAACCAAATGTGTGGGCATACAGGGACGGCAGTCAGGGTGGCACCAATACCAGCGGTTCCAGTAAAGCAGGTACGAGCCAAGGTACCTCGGGTAAAGGTGGGACGAACACCCACAGTTCCAGTAGAGGCCATACGTCGGGAACTGAAGATCAGAGCAAAGGTCCGATATTACTTTATCTTTTTAAATGTGCAAAATATTATTTTACTTGGTTTAATGCAAGCACTTTTGTTATTGACCCATGCGAGAGCAGGTACATGGACTGGGTAAGGTGGGACGAACACCAGCAGTTCCAGTAGAGGCCACACGTCGGGTTCTGAACCCTATGTCGGAGGTACGATTATAATTTATATTGTTCTTAAATACTGATATGTAATTTAGAAATTATGATATTATTTTACGTGGTTAAAGATGTAATGCAGATAGACTTTTTTCAGTTTAGGCACAAGAATAAGATTTCGCAGGTACTCCACAATCATGTTCAGTCATATCTTGATGTCGCTCCTGGCGGCAATTTTGGTTTCCGCGTCTTTGCGAGTTGCATGTTGGGAGGGCAGAATAATCATGTTTTGTGCAGACAGATATATTATGATGAGGTTATAAATAACCATGGCCTGTACGGGAACCTTTACAGGTACGAAGCCAGTTTAATTTTGTGAGCGGTTTTAATACACTTGCATCAATGTTGTTTTATTTAAAACCTTCATTTACTTGTCGTTATAGGTGGGATAAATTACCTGCAAGCCTAGAGCGTATACGGTGGACTAGTACTTCCGAAGGTCACTGGATGTCGACAGAGCACTTTTATCCTCTTGCTACATATTTCAATGCTGTTGTGTACTACTTCAGAACAAACGGTGCTGTAAATCTAAACGGCACGTGTTGGACTGTGCTACCACTGATCGCACGGGGCGGGGCAACAAGACCAGAGTTCCAGATAGTTATTTGCCACCTTGAGCCTTACCAGCACTTCATTCGACTCAATCTGCAGGGTGATTTTCCGATTCCCCCCATTTACCCCATTTGGTGGCATGATCGTGATAGTAGTGTTATTGGTTGGGAAGTACCTTTTGAACCCAGACTGCAGCTATGGCATACTTTGGTACCTTCGATAAGACCCACACGGGAATTTTGTGATCTCGGGTGATATGTTGTGTATATTTTTTTTTATGCAAATGGTGAAATTTTATGATCTCTTTACCTAAATGTTCACATAAATGAAAATTTAAATTGAAAATCAACATAAGTACATATTGTTCACAAAAATATAATCGTTACATAATTGTTTAAAGGAAAAAGCACTGAGTAGAATGTCATGGGGCCTGACTGTGACGGAAGATGACATCATCCAGGCGAGTATCCCACTCCTCACTAAGACCCAGATCGAGTTTTTTCAAATCGTTGATGCAACCTCAAATCAACCTCTCCATCTCACGCATCCAATACAAATGTGAAATAAAACCATATTAAACCCTTAAAGATAGTACCTGTGTTATTAAAAAAAGGGTATTCCAATTAGAGTTGAACTTACGTAAGTGGTGCAGTTCTTCCCTGGG